ACATTATAATGAAAATGCCCAGCATACAGAATAAGGATAGAATCTTAAAAGCTGCAAGAGAGAGGAATCAGATCACATTTAGGGGGAGATCAACTCATATCTAAGCAGATTTTTCAACCCAGACCCTCAATGCCAGGAGATTGTGGAACAACATATACCAAGCTCTGAAAGAAAATGGATGCCAACCAAGAATCTTATATCCAGAAAAACTAGGCTTTAGATTTGATGATGAAACAAAAACCTTCCATGATAAACAAAAATTAAAAGGATTTACAACTAGAAAGCCTGCACTACAGAACATCCTCAGCAAAATATTCCAAGAAGAGGAAATGAAAAACAATAATGAAAATCAGCAGAGGGAGGGATTACACTAAAGGAAAATCTAATCAGAGGAGAAATCAAGTCACATTAAATACCAAAAATAAACAAAAATGGCTAAGAATACAAATCATGTCTCAATAATAACTTTGAATGTTAATGGCCTAAATTCACCAATCAAGACATAGACTAGCAGATTGGATTAAAAAAAAAAAAGACCCATATGCTGCCTCCAAGAGACACATCTCCTAGAAAAAGAAATTCACAGACTGAAGGTGAAGGGTTGGGGAAAATCATACCACTCACATGAACTGTGGAAGCAAGCAGTGGTTTTCATCCTCATATTAAATAAAGTAGACTTCAAGCTAAAGTCAATCAGAAAGGATAAAGAAGGACACTACATACTCCTCAAGGGAACCATACACCAAAAATACTTAACAATTGTAAATATATATGCCCCAAACAACAGAGCAGCTATGTTCATCAAACTCTTCTCAAGTTCAAGAGTCAAATAGACTACAACACAATAATTTTGGGTGACTTTAACATACCTCTTTCATCACTAGATAGATCTTCAAAACAAAAGCTGAACAAAGAAACTATAGAACTCAATAATACAATCAATAACTTAGACTTAACTGACTTATATAGAATATTCCAACCTTCAACGAGATAATTTTCCTCAGCAGCACATGGATCCTTCTCTAAAATAGACGATATGCTTTGCCACAAAGCAACTCTTAGCAAATATAAAAAAGTAGAGATACTACCCTGCATTCTATCAGATCATAATGGAATGAAATTAGAAATCAATGATAAAATAAGAAATAAAATTCACTCCAATACCTGGAAACTAAATAATATGCTACTGAATGAAAAATGGGTTATAAAAGACACGAGGAGATTAAAAAGTTTTTAGAAGTGAATGAGAACACAGATACAACATATCAAAATCTCTGGGACAATATGAAAGCAGTTCTAAGAGGAAAGTTCATTGCATGGAGTTCATTCCTTAAAAGAAGAAAAAGTCAACAAATGACTTAACATTATATCTCAAAGCCCTAGAAAAAGAACAAATCAACACCAAAAGCAACAGAAGACAGGAAATAATTAAAATCAGAGCTGAAATCAATGAAATTGAAACAAAAGAAATAATTGAAAAAATTTGACAGAACAAAAAGTTGGTTCTTTGAAAAAATAAAATAAAATTGACAGACCCTAAGCTATGCTAACGAAGAGAAGAAGAGAGAAAAATCACTAACATATGTGATGAAAAAGGAAATACCACAGCAGACACTACAGAAATACAGAAGATAATTAGAAATTATTTTGAAAACCTGTACTCCAATGAAATAGAAAATATCAAAGGCATTGATATACATGATATACAGAATTTAAACAGATCAGTTTCAAGTGATGAAATAGAAGATGCCATCAAAAGTCTACCAAGTAAGAAAAGCCCAGGACTGGATGGATACAAAGCCGAGTTCTACAAAACCTTTAAAGAAGAACTTATACTAATACTCTCCAATTTATTTCAGGAAATAGAAAAAGAGGCAGCACTTCCAAACTTATTCTATGAAGCCAATATCACTCTAAAACCAGGCAAAGATACATCAAAAAGAGAAAACTTCAGACCAATTTCTCTAATGAACATAGATGCAAAAATTCTCAAATTCTGGCACATCAGAAAACATCAAAAAGGATCATGCACCATGATTGAGTGGGATTCATCCCAGGGATGCAATTTTGGTTCAACAAATGGAAATCAATAAATGTAATTCATCACATCAATAGTCTTAAAGATAAGAATCATATGATCATCTCCATAGATGCAGAAAAAGCATTTGACAAAATACAGCACACCTTTATGTTCAAAACACTAGAAAAATTTGGGATAACAGGAACGTATCTCAACATCATAAAGGCTATCTATGTTAAGCTCCAGGCCAACATCATTCTAAATGGAGAAAAATTGACAGCATTCTCTCTAAAAACTGGAACAAGACAGGGATGCTCTCTTTCACCACTTCATTTAACATAGTTCTTGAAACACTGGCCAGAACAACTAGACAGATGAAAGAAATTAAAGGGATTCACATAGGAAAAGAAGAACTCAAATTGGCACTATTTGCTGATGATATGATTCTATACCTGGAAGACCCTAAAAGTTCCACCAGAAAACTCCTAAAACTAGTAAATAAATCCAGCAAAGTAGCAGGATATAAAATCAACACCCATAAATCAAAGGCATTTCTGTAAATCAGTGACAAATCCTCAGAAAGGGAAATGAGAAAAACTACCCCATTCTCAGTAGCCTCAAAAAAACTTGGGAATCAACAAAAGAGGGGAAAGATCTATATAATGAAAATTACAGAACCCTAAAGAAAGAAATCAAAGAAGACTTTAGAAGATGGAAAGATCTACCTTGCTCTTGGATAGGCAGAATTAATATTATCAAAATGACAATACTTCCAAAAGCACTATACAGATTTAATTCAATTCCGATCAAAATCCCAATGACATTCCTCATAGAAATAGAGAAAGCAATCATGAAATTCATCTGGAAAGTAAGAGACCCAGAATAGCTAAAGCAATCCTTAGCAGGAAGAGTGAAGCAGATGGCATCCCTATACCAGCCCTTAAACTATACTACAGAGCAATAGTAACAAAAATAGCATGGTGTTGGCACCAAAACAGACTGGTAGACCAGTGGTACAGAATAGAGGACAAAGAGACTAACCCACAAAACTACAAGTATCTTATATTAGACAAAAGTGCCAAGAACATGCATTGGAGAAAATATAGCCTCTTTAACAAATGGTGCTGGGAAAACTGGAAATCCATATGCAACAAAATGAAATTAAACCCCTATCCATCATCATGCACAAAACTCAAAATGGATCAAGGACTTAGGAATACAACCAAAGACCCTGCGTTTAATAGAAGAAAATGTAGGCCTTAATCTCTATCATGTGGGATTAGGCCCCAAATTCCTTAATAAGACTCCTGTAGCACAAGAATTAAAATCAAGAATCAATAAATGGGATGGTCTCAAACTAAAAAGCTTCTTCTCAGCAAAAGAATCCATCTGTGAAGTGAATAGAGAGCCTACATCTTAGGAGCAAATCTTTACCCCTCACACATCAGATAGAGCACTAATCACTAGGGTATATAAAGAACTTAAAAAGCTAAACATCAAAAAAAAAACCAAAAAAAAAACAAATAACCCAATCAATAAATGGGCCAAGGACCTGAACAGACACTTCTCAGAAGATGATGTGCAATCGATTAACAAATACATGAAAAAATCTTCGTCATCAGTAGCAATTAGAGAAATGCAAATTAAAACCACTCTAAGATTTCATCTCACTCCAGTCAGAATGGCAGCTATTTTGCATACAGACAACAATAAATGTTGGCAAGGATGTGGGGAAAAAGGCACACTCATACACTGCTGGTGAGACTGCAAATTGGTGCAGCCAATATGGAAAGCAGTACGGAGATTTCTTGGAAAATTGGGAATGGAACCACCATTTGACCCAGCTGTCCCTCTCCTGGGTCTATACCCAAAGGACTTAAAAACAGCATACTACAGGGACACAGCCACATCAATGTTCATAGCAGCACAATTCACAATAGCTAAACTGTGGAACCAACATAGATGTCCTTCAATAGATGAATTGATTAAAAAAAGTGGCATATATACACGTGGAATATTACTCAGCAATAAAAGAGAATAAAATCATGGCATTTGCAGGTAAATGGATGGAGTTAGGTAAATGGATTGGCTAAGTGAAGTTAGCCAATCCCAAAAAACCAAATGCTGAATGTTTTCTTTGATATAAGGAGGCTGATTCATAGTGGGATAGGGAGTGGGAGCATGGGAGGAATAGATGAACTCTAGATAGGGCAGAGGGATTGGAGGAGAAGGGAGGGCATGGGGTAATTAATGATGGTGGAATGTGATGATCATTTCTATCCAAAGTACATGTATGAAGACACAAATTGGTGTGAATATACTAAGTATACAGAGATATGAAACTATGTAACCAGAGACATGAAAAATTGTGCTCTGTATATGTAATAAGAATTGTAATGCATTCTGTCATATAAATAAACAAATTTAAAAATAGACACCAAGATATTATCAATAGCAGTTCCTATGTTGTTTCACTTATCTCTGTTTTTAGTAAGCATGTGCTATTTAAGTCTCAAAAAAAAAAACTATGAACTTCATGCAAACCTATCAGTGACTCAAAAAAATGACTTAAGAACCATATGTATTCTCATTTCTGTTATTAAATGTCCCGTAATCACGAAGAAGCTGTTTATCATCATCATAATCTTAACAGAATAATAATACCTTTTAGGGCACGTTATTGTTGAATGATTGTGGTTTTAATGCATTTGGTTCTCTACTGAGGAAATAAGAAACTAAAGAGTATAAATCATAAAAGAATTTATTAATCATTCATTAGTCATAAAAGTTCTAATTTGCACAATGGAAACTCACTAAATGTTCATTTAGGAACTAATCTTTTCAAGGTTCTCTGCTAGGCAAATTATAAGATAATAAAAGATGAAAAAATATGCCCATGCCCTGTTGGATTTTATATTTTAGTACTAAAGTAGCAGTCTTGCGAATACTTCTAACAGTCATGCTTTTCTCACTTTTCTAGGCATCTCTAAAATGATTCCAAATTTGGTTGGTACTCTTGATTTCTGTTGTTACAAGTTGGAAAATGTGGAGTCTTTTGCTTTCTTTCTTGAAGAATGGGAGGGAGTTGATAAAAAAATTAATGAAATGAAACCTCGGTTGGATTCACTGATAAACATTATTGGCACTGTTCCACAGCACATGGATGTGGATTCTGGTCCGTAAGTTCCCATGAGTTCTCTTCCTTTTGAGAGAATGTTTTTAAAACCTTTATTGAAATATAATTCACATGCTATACATTTCACCCTTTTAAAGTGTGTAATTCAGTGGTTTTCAGTACATTTATAGATTTGGGCCACTGCAGTCAATTTTAGAACATTTTATCACCTCAAAAAGATGCTTCATATAATTCAGCTGTTTCCCTGTAAATTGGTTCATTTTCTGTTACTATCACAAAATATTGGAGGTTGTTGGCTTATAAAGAAAAGTTTATTTAGCTCACAGTTTTGGAGGCTAAAAGTCTAAACATCAAATGCTGCCTCAGGTGAGGGCTCACAGCATATGGCATCATGCAAGAGGGAGAGATCACATGGCAAGACAGGAGGGGTCTGGCTCACTTTTCCTAACTATTCACTCTTGCAGGAGCTAACTAAGATTCCATAAGAACTCCATTAATTCCTTTTGGTGGCACCCTACTGACCTAATTGCCTTCTCCTAGTCCCCACCCTTTGAAGGTTCCATTACCACATTGGAGGACATACTTCCAACACATGAATCTTTGCTAGATACACTCAAACCATATCCAGACCATGTCAGTATTTCCTCATGATCTTCTTATTTCTGAAAGATCAGTACTAGTGTCCCATCTCTCATTTCTGATTTTAGTAATTTGAGCCTTCTGTTTTTTTCTTGGCAAATATAGCTAAATGTTTATTAATCTTTCCAAAGACTTCTCTTTTGATTTCATTGATTTTCTCTAGTATTTTTTATAGTATTAATTTGTACTCTGGCCATTATGATTTCCTTCCTTTTGCTTTCTTTAGATTTTATTTTACTAAATCTTTTCCATAGTCTTACAGTGAACTGTTATGTTATTAATTCTAGACCTTTGTTTCTTACCATCAGCATTTACAGCTGTAAATTTCCCTCTAAGGACTGCTTTAGTTTCAGTCTATAAGTTTTGGTAGTTGTACTTTCATTTTCATTGATCTCAAAGTGTTTTATGATTTCTTTCATGATTTATTAATTGACCAATTTGTTGTTTAGGACTGTGTTATTTAATTTTCACATATTTATGTGGTTTGCTACTTTTACCCTATTTTGACTTGTAATTTCATTTCACTGTGCTGCGAGTATATACTTTGTATTATTCTGGTCTTTGAATTAATTGATGTTTTCTTTATGGCCTTGCACATTGTCTATATCAATGACTTCTAGCATTTTTACTCTGATATATGTGTGGATCTTTTTGTGTTTATCCTACTTGGATATTGCTAAACTTCTGATATGTTAGTTATTCTCTCTCAATACAGATGGGAGGTTTTCAGTCATTATTTCTTTGAATGTGGTTTTTTTCTTTTTATTTCTTTCTCTTTCTCACTATTTCCAGAGGCTTTAAATGGTTTGTTAAAGAAAAATAATTTTCAACAATTTCATTGGTAGGCAGCCTTCCTCTTCCCACTGTCAATGCTGGAAGTCAACTTTAAAATAAATTCTCTTCATATGAGTAGTTCTTAGTGACCTGGGAGTGAATGTAAAGGTGTAAATTGTTATAACAGAGAGCTAATATTGGAGGTAAGATGTATATTGTCTGTCGTGGTTTGGATATGAGGTATCCCCTGAAAAGCTCATGTGTTAAGCAATGCAGGAGTGTTTAGAAGTGAAACGATTGGATTATGAAACTCATAACCTAATAGGTGGATCAGTTCATTTGTGGATTAATAATTTGAATGGATTACTGAGTGGTAACTGTAGACAGGTAGGCATGGCTAGAGGAAGTAGGTCAATGGGTGCATGACGTTGTAGATTATATTTTTATCCCTGGTTGGTCTGTCTTCTCTCTCTCCCCTTCTCCTCTCCTTCTCCCTCTCTCTCCTTTTGCTTGCCACAGCTGAGCAGCTTTCCTCCACCCACATGTTTTGCCTCACCTCAGGTCTGCCATGATGTTTTGCTTACCTCAGGTCTACAGCAGAGGAGTTGGCTGAGCATAAACTGAGATCTCTGAAGTTTTGAGCCCTTTTTTCCTTCCTCTAAATTATTTTTGTCAGATATTTTGGTTCCAGCAATTAAAAGCTGCCTAATAGAATTGTCCAAGGTGTGTATGATGCCAGTTCCTCCCTACCAGGGCATTAGGAAAGCAATGTCAGTAACTAAGCCTTCACACCACATAATTCAAGGCTTTCATTCACCTTTGCCTGAGTACTCAGTTGTCAACACCCAAGTTTATTATGCTCAATCAAATAAAACCCTTTCTCTTAGCTGATAGTTACTTGTGTACTCTAAGTTTATTTTGCCTGATTTTTCCTTCAGACTATTCCAAGAACACATATTTAACGTGATTCAACAATGGATTTTGAAGATAGACAATGAAATTAACAATGGAAACATTGAACTTCAGCGCCATGTATGTACAAATAAGACTTTGTGAGATTATTTTTTGCCTTTGCTAATGGTTTGCTTTAAGGACAAACCAGTTACTACATATACAACTGAAGCAGGAGATTGGGAGAACAAAACAGAAGCTTATATATTAGCTTTTCAATTGATTTTTTTTTAGTTGTCAATATCAAAGTTTATTTTATTTATTTATATGTGGATCTGAGAATTGAACCTAGTGCTTCACACATGCTAGGCAAGTGCTCTACCACTGAATCACAATCCCAGCCCCTCAATATATTTTTATTTTTTTTATTAGTTGCTCAAGACAATACAATGATCTTGACATATCATACATTTGATTCAAATAGGGTATGAATTCTCATTTTTCCACGTGTATAGATTGCAGGATCACATTGGTTATACATCTATGTGACCTCAATATATTTTTAAATGCATAATGTTTTTGCATCTGGAATGGAGTTTTGAAAAGTTCTAAGTATTATCTTTACTCTTTGCTAAGTATACTGACATTGTTTTCCTCAATGGCATTAGTCAGGGATATGGCCATTTTAAAGACTTTTGTAGGATTGTGTTTCTGTCATTCCTTCAGTCCCTACCTGAACATGTTACTAGGTGAAAAGCGAGATGCATCAGTACTGTTGGTCTGTAATTACTAGAAAAACAGAATTATTCTGCAATTGTGAAAAAACCAAAGCTTATGGATTAATAAATCCATAAGCTAGTAAACATTAAATAATGATTTCCAAGGATGTCTTAGTTTACTACATTTACTCTTACTGCCAACTCTTTTTAGAATCTGAATGTACATAGGAATCTCTTATTATAAGAGATGCAAATATTTGATCTTATAGAATCAATAAACTTAATTCATTTTAATATTGCTTAAGTTAGGAATTTGAAAGGCAGCAACACCATGTTATATGGGAACAACTACTGAAGAAACATTACAATTCTGGGCTGGGGTTATGGCTCAGCAGTAGAGTGCTTGCCTTGCACATGCAAGACCCTGGGTTCGATCCTTAGCACCACATAAAAATAAATGAATAAAATAAAGGTATTGTGTCCAACTACAACTAAAAAATTAAAAAAAAAACATTACAATTCTGTCAACTTGTTATAAACCTGTAGACACCAAGAATTGAGGAGCAAATATGTTAAGTCTGGAAGTACGGATCCATAGGATCCTTAGGCTTGGGGAAAATTCCAGTGTCTTTTGAGAGACAACAAAAAATGAAAAAGAAAAAGGGAGATGGAGTGCATGTCACATAGGTGGGACTCAATTTTTGTTGAATGAAGCTAGGAAGACCATTCTGGCATTGTTGGTGTCTTATGGTGTTGCTATATTAAACCCATCTTGGCAAAATACTCAGTTTACTATTAGGGTTTGATCTCCATGAAATCTTGAACTCATTTTTTTTTTTTGGTATTCTAGAAGTTTAGTTTTTATAATATAGATAGAAATGCTTTTATATACTCATAGTATATGTTTTAATCAGCTTTATTTGCTGCTGTGACAAAAAGACCAGACCAAAACAATTATACAATAGGAAAAATTTATTAGAGGGCTCACGGTTTCAGAGACAACAGAGTCCATTCCTTAGGGCTTGAGGTGAGGCAGAACATCATGGCAGAATAGTATAGTGGAGGAAAGCAGCTCACAAGACCATCAAGAAGTAGAGAGAGACTCTACTTGCCAAATACAAAATACTTACCCCAAAGGCACATCCCCAGTGACCCGCTCCTTCTGGCCACACCCCATCCACCTTCAGCCATCACGCAGTTAATCCCATCATGGATTAATTCACTGATTGGGTCAAGGCTCTCAAGACCCAATCATTTCTCTTCTAAACCTTCTTGCATTGTCTCACACATAAACTTTTGGGGGATACCTCACATCCAAATTATAACAATATACCTCTATTTTAACACTGCATTATTAAAGTTAGTCTGTGTGGAAAACTGAAAAGATTGTAAGCTCCTTCAGGAACTCTGTGTATCCATATTAACTGGTACAAGAATTTAAAAATATAAAATTTGTCTTTTTTTTTCACTCACCAAGCAGGTTTTCCTTTCTGATCCATTGTCTGACCTTCAGTTTTATTGTTTTTCCTTTGCCCTCTTACTCTATTTAATCTGTGCTGCTTGGCTGTCCAAAACAGTGGCCTCTGAACATTTATTTTATTTTTTATTTTAATTTTCATTAAAAAATTATTCTAATTTTAGTTATACATGACAGTAGAATGCATTTTGACCCATCATACATAAATGGAGTATAATTTCTCATTCTTCTGATTGTACATGATGTAGTGAACATTTTTTTATCATGTAATTCTATAAGCAAAATAATCTTTGAGCAAGTAATTTGTAACTTACAATTTTTAATTTGCCTGCCAGAGTTACTCCATTGACAAGTTTTATATGTCATAAAACTTATGCCAAAAAGTCAAAAGGGATAAATAATATTTTCAAATAAGTTTTATTAATAGTTAAAAAACTGGCTGGGTGCAGTGGCACACAACTTTAATCTCAGTGGCCCCAGAGGCTGAGACAGGAGGATCTCGAGTTCAAAGCCAGCCTCAGCAATGGCGAGGTGCTAAGCAACTGAGTGAGACCCTGTCTCTGAATAACATACAAAATAGGGCTGGGGATATGGCTTAATGGTCGAGTGCCCCTGGGTTCAATCCCCAGTACCAAAAACAAAACAAAACAAAACAAAAAAACCAAACTGATGTTATTGAATAGGTTTCATAATTTACATAATTACAAGGTTACTATTTTATTGATAGTTAAAGGTCTGCTTCTAAGTTCAGTTTACTTCAGTAGTTGTTTTAAATGAGTCATTGTTGAAATGATAGTTCACAAAGAGATGAATCTAAACAAACTGTATCATTTAACACTCGATTTTCAATTCTATTAATTATGCAATGATTTCTTCTTTTTTAAAAAAATATTTATTTTTTAATTATAGTTGGACACAATACATTTATTTTATTTATTTTTACGTGGTGCTGAGGATTGAACCCAAGGCCTCTCACACATGCTAGACCTAGAGCACTCTACCCCTGAGCCACAACCCCAGCCCTAGAATGGTTTCTTCTTAATTGACTAGTAAAATTTTCCTTCTATCAAGTCACAGTTCCTTTTGCAAACACTAGACAATGTAGCATTTCTATATCCCAGTTAATCAAAATATTTTATTTGTAAGATTTTTAAAAAATATTTATTTTTTAGTTGTAGTTGGACACAATATTTTTATTTATTTAGTTTCATGTAGTGCTGAGGGTGGAACCCAGGGCCTCGCATGTCCTAGGCGAGTGCTCTACCGCTGAGCCACAATCCCAGTCCTTATTTGTAAGTTTTTATTACAGATTAGAACTTTATTTCTATATTTTAAAAAATTTTAGTTGTATGGACATAATACCTTTATTTTATTTACTTATTTTTTATGTGGTGCTGAGAATTGAACTAGCCTTACATGTGTTAGGCAAGCATTCCACCACTGAGCTACAACCCCAGCCCTACTTCTAGATTTTTAAATATATGCTTTGAGACTTTTAAAATATGATTTATGTATCATCTTCAGCAACAAATTCGCACTTCCCTGAGTGGCAGGGAGGAATGGGGGAGGTGCTGGGGAGTGATGTTGGCCAAATTATATTGTTATATCGTGTACATGTTCAAATATGTAACCACAAATCCCATCAACATATACAACTACCATGCACCAATAAAAACGCGTAAAAAGAAAAGATGATGTCATTAAAAGTGGCTGTGCATTTGATGTTGACATTGTGATCTATGTTTAGTTCACTCTGTACCTGCAGATGTCATATATCATTGTCTCCCTCAATTAAAAACCCCGCAGCATCCTCACGAGTTTTCTGTGGAGCGCTGGAATGTCTTTGCGCACCGAAGGAAACTTGGGAACTGCAGCTTTAAGGTGCCAAAAAGAATAAGAGACTAGTTTAATGTAGGACAGTGCAGAAGAAAAGGGGGTTACACTAGATAAGTGGTGATTATTTGAGTTCTTTAAGAATCATGGGTTTGTTGAAACTTGAACAGAGGTATGATCATTTCTGTTTTTAAATGTGGTCTAATTTTTACCGTTTTTATTTAAAATGGGTCATTTGTGTTATGATAATTTTTAACAGATGGATGAGTTGCACATTTCTATGGTCCAGTGGATGGTAAATATGCTGATTATAATGGTTCCTGACTTTACTGACCAAAACACTCTTCCAAAATTGGAGAAGGAAAGTGCTGAGAAATGTAATATAAGAGTTATGCAGTTAGAGCTAGATGCGACTGCACTGGCAAGAAAGTTGTCCCAGTACTCCACCTATTTGAACAGGTAAAACTGTCTGGTTATTGTATTGCTGCTCATTTAAAAATTAAATATAAAGAAGGCAGACGAGAAGGACAGCAAAGTAGCAGCAGTAGGGGTTATTTTAAAATCTTCAAAGAAATACTATTTTAATTTCTCATCTGACTTCGACACTCTGCCCAGTTGAGATATGAGATTTTGGTGTTCTCTCCTAGCCTATTGGAATTCTTTTAGAAACAATGTTAGCATAGAAACGATGAGAACTGTGTTTGTATGAGGGTGAGAATTAGTTTAAAATAAAAAGACCAACTTGCTTATCTAAGTAAGATACACCTTGCATTTTTGCACATGAGACATTTAAAGAAGCTTGTGATTTCTGTGTAATTTCCCTGCAAAATTGGATGTATGCTTTTGAATGTTTGACTAAATGCCACAAAATATCTCTTAAAATGAAAAAAATATTGTTATATCACATCAAATAAAGATGAGGTATAATCTGTTAACTATAATGAAGATGGTCACTATGGTTTTTTGAACTTTGGGAAGTAGCTCTTACAGTCTAGTCAGAATTTTCCTTCAATTTAAGTTTGTCAGTGGACCAGGGTGAAAGAAGTAGAGGAGAGGAAGAGGAAAATGGTGAAAAATTTAGGAAGGGACAAAATGTTCTCCATGGTAAGCCTGTAGCTGAATTACTATGGTTAATTCCCACTGTATCTGGATTTTAAACACTTAGTGGAACCAATAACAAATAGTTCAAGCTAAAAATATTTGTTAACTTCCCATTACTATAATGAAATGCCTGAGATAATTAACATATAAATAGAAAAGGTTTATATTGGCTCAAAGTTTTGGAGGTGGCTCATACCTGTAATTCCAGCTACTCAGGAGACTAAGGTAAATTTACAGTTCATGGCCCCAGTACTTTGGATCTGTGGTGAGATGGCATGTCAATCATTGTAAGAGAGCATGGTAGAACAAAACTGTTCACTTCATGAGCCAAACAGCAGAAGAGGAAGAGGAAAAGAAAGAGACTGAGGTCCCACAATCCCCTCCAAGGGCACATCACCAGTGACCTAAGGACCTCCCCTGAGGCCTCACCTCCTGAAAGTTCCACCACCTCCCAATAGTACCACCTTGGAGACCAAGTGTTAACACATGGGCCTTTGGGGGGATACTCATCTAAACCATAGAACTGAGTGTGATTTTTCCTTTTCCCTGTACTTTGTTTTGCGGTTATTATTGTTTGGTTTGGTTTGGTTTCTTGCAGTTGTTGTAAAGGGATGGTAACAGCAATGGCTCTGACTCAAGCAGCACAGTCACAAAGTAATCCTGCTAAGGAGCTTCGGGAGCTGGATAGGATGAAGGTAATACTTCTTTCTTCCACTTTGTTTTGAAGATATCCAACGACTCAAGGGTGTGTGCCTTGTAGCCTCTCCTTTCAACCTCATCCTATCTCCAGGCAATATCTGGTCCACTTTTTAACACCAAAGATTATTTTTCATTTTCTAGAATTTATGTTAATGGAATCATTTAGAATATAATTTTTTTGGGTCTGACTTTTTTGACTAAACATTTATTTTGATATTTATACATGTTGCTTTTATCTAAAGTTGATACTTTTTAGTGCTGGTTAACATATAATAAAATACATATACACACATATATATTTTATTATAGGGATATACGTAATTTATTTATCCATTATCTATTGGTGGGCATTTGAATTGTTTCTAATGTTTTATTATTAAAAGCAAAGCTTCAGTGCATATTTATGTACATGTCTTTGAATAGACTTTTATCCCCATTTCTCTTGGGTAATATCTAAGAATGGAATGTGTGTGTTTTCTGGAGTGGCTAAAGCATTCAGCAGTGAATGAGCATCTCGGTTGCTTTATATACTTACTGACACTTATAATTATCAGTCTTTTAATTTTTTTGACATTTTAATAGGTGGGTAGTGATATGTTACTGTGGTTTTAATTTTCATTTCCTTAATGGCATTTCTTTTGCTTATTTTTCATCTTTATATTGTCTGTCATGAAATATATGTTCAAATCTTTGGCCCAGTAATGGCTTGTTTGTTTAATTATTATTGAGTTTTAGGGGTTCTTTATATATTATAAATACCAAGTGGTTTTTTTTGCCAGATATATGATTTTATAATATTTTCTCCCAGTCTGTGATTTTTTTTATTTCTTTCTCTTAATAATGACTGAAAGATGGGAAGTTCTTAATTTTGATGAAGTTCAAGCTATTTTTTTTTCTTCTATGGATCTAGCTTTTGGTATTATACTTAAGGAAATTTTTGTATAACATCCCAAAGATTTTCTTCCTATTTTTTTTCCTAGAAGTTTTATAGTTTTAGACTTTATACTCAGATCTGTGACTCATTTTGAGTTGAAATATTTTCATATATGATTCCAGGTATGGATCGAAGTTTCTTTTGGAGCATTTGGATATCTAATTGTTTGGGAACCGTTTGTTGAAAAGACTGTCCTTTTTTCTCTATCAAGATGCCTTTGCATCTTTGTTAAAAAATCTGTTGATCATATGTAAGATGCCCTTTATTAGATTGAGAAAGTTCCTTTTATTCCATGTTTACTGAATATTTTTTTCAGTCAGGAAAGGATATTGAATTTCATCAAGTTCTTTCTCTACATCAATTTGGGATGACCTTGAGTTGCCTTTTTAGTCTGTTGAATTACATTGATTGACTTTTAAAACTTGAATGTCAAAGTGACCTTTAATTACTGGAATAAACTCTACTTGATCATGAGGTATTATCATCCTTCTATGTATCACAAATTCAATTAATTAAAATTTTGTTTAGATTTTTTACATTGATGTTCACAGGGATGTTGATTACATACATTGTCTTGTAATGTATTTGGTTCTGATACCAGGGTAATACTGGCTTATTATTCAGGGTAATGAGTTGAGAAGTTTCTCTTACATTTCTATTTTATTGAACAATTTGTTTAGAATTGAATATTATTTCTGCCATGAAAGTTTGATAGAATTCACCAAGAGGCCCCCAAATTTTAAAGATTTTAAAAGACAGTATCTCTAAGATCTTGGGGTAGAAAATATTTTAAATTTTATTTTTATCAAAATAAAAAAGCACTAAAAGAAAAGATTATAATTTGATTATCTTAAATTTAAGAACTTTTAAAAAATGTCTCAAAACCAGAAACAAGCCACAGATTGGAAGAATACATTGGCAACACCTATAACTGATAAAAGACAAGTATCCTGAATATGAAATGGCCTTCTGTGATCAATATTATGAAAATAACCCCATAGAAAAAAGTTGTCAAAATTTGAACGTGTACTTCACAAAAGAGAAAATCCAATTGGCTAACATTTGAAATGATGCCTCAATTTCACAAGTGATCAGGGAAATATAAATTAATATCAATTGCTTACCTATCAAATTGGTAAAACATACAAAATTTGACAATGCAGAAGTGTTAAGAATGGGGTAAACAACATGTACTCTGGACACTGACTGTAAGAATGTAAATGTATGTGTCCCATTTGGAAATCAGTGGGCATTACTTGTTAAAAGTTGGATTCCCACACCCAGGAACGTAACATTTCTATTTGTATATCTATAATAACTTGAGAAGATTTTGCAACAAATTCACTAGACTGGGAGACATATTTGAGAATATCCTTAGTAGTATCTCCAAAGTAGTAGAAACAGTTCAAATATCCATAAACAGCGAATGGATAATATGGTATGCGATAACTGGCATATAGAATGCAAGTAATTTTCTGTTCTTCACCTTGTGCTGTTTAAACGAATGTTCTTATTAAATGGCATGTATGTGTGTTATGCTTTTTTTATGTATGACCAAGTTCACAGTTTTTAAACAGTGTATTATTAAAAATTATGTATATCTCAATCTCAATGACTTGGGAGGCTGAGGCATAAAGATCACAAGTTCAAAGCCAGCCTCAGCAATTTAGTCAGGCTGTAAGCAACTTAGTAAGACCCTATCTCAAAATAAAAAAGGATTGGGATGTGGCTCAGTGGTTAAGTGCCCTGGGTTCAATTCCTGGTACGAAAAAATTTATATGTGTGTGTTTTGCGCGCGCGCACACACACACACACACACACACACTCTTACATTATGTACAATATCTTGCTAGCAAGCTTTTAAGTCTCTAGGAGATGGAGACTTTGTAGGAGAATATAAAATAAATAGCACTAACTTTGGAAGGAGAAAAGTGGCCAATTTTTAGAGAAGAAATTGATGCATTAAGTTTAAAAAAATAAAAGAAATTACCTGGACTCTGTAGACAGTGTTTTTAGACTTTGAAGGAGCAAGGGTAATCCCTGTGATATATAGACAATTAGGAATATAGATAATGACTAAAAGATTTCCCAGTTTATTTCATATGGCTAGCAAAGTTCTTTTAAAAAATCCCAATAAGTATAGAGGAAATAAGCCTCATAAATATGGATGCTAAATCCAAATTTAAAATAGCAAATTTCATTTAGCAGAAAGTTAAAAAAATAAAATGCTGTGTGTGAACAATTAGAGTAATGTCAGAGAGGGAAACTCTTTGAAAGTGTTTTCCTCTAGGTGTGTTTCACTTCTTATCTGGGAGTTGAATGAAACATATCCGTTTCATTTCTGGTTCTGAGAAGCTTCAGGGTGTTCTTCACAACAGACTGATGTGCCTCTGAACCGAGTAGCCCCTTAGAGCTTGCCATCCTCATTGCACATCTAAAAATGTGCTTGGATCTTTTTAGGCTTGCTACAACCAGCCCTACCAGTACCCACCCTCAGAAATGATGGAAATCCCGATTTTGGCAGGATGGATGTGCCATGAATAGTGGTGGAGATCCACGGTCAGCTCCATGTCATACTTAATTATTACTTATTTAAAAGGAGGTAGAACTCTGTGTGGTGAGACCATGTTTCCAGATAAAGGCAATTTTAGAATAAGATCTTCAGGATGCTTTGGTGTATACTTCCCTATTAAAGTTAAGGCAATAGCAATATGAGGGATACTATAGTGAGGGGCCATTCCTAAGGGGACCTGGGGACCTGTATACTGTAAAACCATCTGTATTCGATCTTGTGAAAGCACTGTACTATGGGCCATTCATTGCCCATTCCACCCCAGGCCCTGATCAAAGGCCCATGACCTCATCATCTCTCTGAGGATCCACACTTCCCATCCGTACTACTTAGGTCCTCTGTTAAGCTCTTTATCACTAACCCTTTACAAATGATCTCCGATAAATTAGAATATTATCAGATGAATGAGAATCTACTCTTATATCAGAAATAAGATTCTAACTAATCTCATGCTTGGACCTTCTTTCTCTAAAACAATATGTGCCCCTTATTTAATTCTGCAGCTGAGGTCTTTCAGGATATATAAAACTATTTAGGGGGCTAAGCAGACCTCTACTTCTCTTGGAGTGCTTTAGCACTCTAAAATGAGTGGCTAGTTCCAGTTTTTACTTTTTATTTTTTTAGTTGTAGATGGACACAATACCTTTATTTTATATGTTTATTTTTATGTGGTGCTGGGATCAAACCTAGTGTCTCCCACTTGCTAGGCAAGTGCTCTATCACTGTGCCACTTCCCCAGCCCTAGTTCCAGTTTTATTGAAGTTATCTTAGTTTCAAATTCATTAGTGTCATCCCATGATCTCCTAGACGACCTCTATGGTATGTGAATCTTTGTGACATCAGGTTCTGGGGACTCAGATGGCCCCATCTATACCCCATGAGGTGAAGAGTAAAAGATGGTCTTCTGGAGAAGCCTTGTCTAATGTGGGTATACAGTGATGCTGTGGGCATCACCTTCTAGCATTTTAAGATGTTTTTTCTAGCATTTTAAGAAGCTATGTTCTAGGGCTGGGGATGTGGCTCAAGCGGTAGTGCGCTCGCTTGGCATGCGTGCGGCCCGGCACCACATACAAACAAAGATGTTGTGTCCGCCAAAAACTAAAAAAAAAATAAATAAATATTAAAAAATTCTCTCTCTCTCTCTCTAAAAAAAAAAAAGAAGCTATGTTCTAGACCATCATCTTGAAAACCTACTAAAGGCTATTATTAGGATAACTAGTGATAGTTTTCCAAAATCTAATGTTTTGAGAATTCCTTTCCAATAAAGGAGATTCACGTGATTCTGGACAGAGTTCTGAAGTGGGAGGGCTTCTAAGTAAAGTTTTGGAGTTTTACTCCACTTTTCGGGCAAAACAGCCTACATAAAACACAAAATTTCAAAAAGAAATGGGTAATTCTCTAGTTCTCCAAGATTACTAAGTCAGTCTAGTGACTAATGACCGTATTTACCTCCCAACTGATCCTCGCATATCTTGATCCAGTCTTGACCTCCCACAATAGAGCTCCAGTTAAATTCAGGAGCCCATTTTCCTGGAGGGCTCAGTCCCAGGATCCTTGCCTTTGTGTCTGTTTTCTTTCTTTCTTTTTCTTTTTTTTTTTAGCTGTAGATGGACACAATATCCTTATTTATTTTTATGTGGTACTGAGGATCGAACCCAGTGCCCCACAAGCCTCAGCCCTTGTGCCTGTTTTCTGAAAGGAGCTGGTCTCTGAGTATCACCTACTCCACTTGGTAATGACAATTGTTTGTCCTTAAGGTTTCATTTGAAGCTTGGAGGCATTAAAGTGGAGTATTGGCTTCAATAAAAGTACACTGGTACTGTACAACCTGGAGTAACAGCTAAAAACATGGGAAGAGTCCCTAGATAGATAGATATGATTTAAAGTGCTTTAGATTTGCTGGGCACTTGTAATCCCAGTTGCTCAGGAGGCTAAGACCAGGAGTATTGTGAATTCAGAGTCAGCCTCAGCAAAAGCGAGATGCTAAGCAACTCAGTGAGACCCTGTCTCTAAATAAAGTATAAAATAGTGCTGGGGATGTTGGCTCAGTGGTCGAGTTCAATCCCCAGTACGCCCCCACCCCCGCCAATAAATAAAGGAGTGCTTTAGGTTAACTATCTTTAATGTTCCAGTACCTACAATTAGAGTCACTTATAATCCTGGAGTTTGTGGTAGCCAGAAGTCAGTTTTAAGAGCTCCAACTAAAAGTCCTCAATTTCCTTGGTATTAGCAGGTATTTCTCTCCCATTCTTAGGTGCTAGTCTTTTTTACCCATCCTAGCCTAATGAAAGATATCTTAGAGATCCTTCCAGATCACCTGCTGTTTGTTCAGATCATGATTTCCTCCATGCCATTCTTACCCATCTCTGCCCTTTGTAATCTATAAAGGCCATTCATCTTGGGCTGCAGTTGCCTCCTTTATGTCACCCAAGAAACTTCTAGTTCCAGGATTTGGTCCTCCAAAAGGAGTATGACTTTGAAGAGTAGTACTAGAAACCTGCTTCTCATGATGTTCCAGCAGGTAAATTCAAGAAAGTTCTAGCTTTCCCTACGTGTACCCATAAAAGACTATGTCCTACAGCCTTCTGTTTCTCCTTTTTTTGATCAACAAAAATGGGCTTAATATTTAAGATCACATCTTGCTTCTTAAATCCTCCTTCACCCCAGGAAGTAAATTTTAGTCCTTTGGCTTTTTACCAAAAGCATTTAATAACACAGTGCTGAATCAGACTTTATTAGAATTAAATAGGAAAGTATTCATGGAAAGAGATTTGTGTTTATTGATTAGGCATCCAAGCTACCTTCCCCTATACCTCATAAAGGGTGATGTTGAAGATTTTGAAGGAAAACCTGCTTAAATCTGGAAAACTTAACTCTACAGATCACTGTAAAACTTTTATTAAAAACTCCTAATGATTTTCCCCCATCAAAAGTCATCTTACAAAAATATTTTCAATGTCTCAGAAGTTTGTAAGAGAATGACTAGAATCTGCTTCATAGTATGTACATTCAATAAGAGAATGGTGAATTAACTCTGAAGAAATAAAAATTTTAAAATACCATTTTTTTTTAAGAATTAATAAACACAGCTGGGCATAGTGGCATGCCTATAATCTCTGCAATTTGGGAGGCTGAGACAGGAGGATCACAAGTTCAAGGCCAGCCTCAGCAAATTGGTGAGAACCTGTCTCAAAATAAAAAATAAAAAAGGGGTTAGGGAATGTAGCTCAATTGTAAAGCTGCCCTGGGTTAAATTCTAAGCATGCCCCTGCCCAAAATATACAATTAAATTAACTAATGCTTTTGTTCTAGGTATAAGAAGGAAGGTAAATAATATATTCATCAAATGTTATAGCTGGAAGAATCCTTAAAGGTAGTGGTGGAATGGAGGCTTACATGGGTTTAAAAAGAGCTGATTGTACACTCCTTCCCAACTTCACACCTAGTGACAACATTTGGAATTGATGAATATCATGGAAATTATGATGGTGGGAGCATTCATATCATGGAAATCAGCATTTGCTACAAATCAGGGCTCCCTACTCCCAAGATGGTTGTTAAACATTTTCCAGTTCATGAATGTATAAGGGTCACCTAGAATAAACCACCAACTTCATTTTTTAAAAATAGATGAGGACTATGAAGCATCTACTTGAGAACTCACAATTAATTAGGTAAAGTTAGGAGTAAAACCCAATACTTATCATCTGCCTTGTCCAGTTCTTTTGGTGATATGCAATAAGACATCATCCTAAACCATTGAATTCAGAATGTAAGCATCTGTCCTGTGTTAAGTTTATGTCACTATGACCAAAATGTCCAACAAGAACAACTTAGAGGAGGGAAAGTTTATTTTGGGCTCATGATTTTAGAGGTTCATCCATAGTTGGCCAGTTTCATTGCTTTGAGATAAGGCAGAACATCATGGCAGAAAGGTGTGGCAGAGGAAAGCTATTCTTAACGATTAATTTTTCTAAATGGGCCATTACCATGACATTTTGATTTTTGAGCCCCCCCCCCTTTTTTTTGGTACTAGGGATTGATCCTGGGATGCTTAATCACTGAGCTACATCCCCAGCCTTTTATATTTTTTGAGACAGAGTCTTGTCTCAATCTGGCCAATCTGGCCTCCAGTTTGTGGTCTTTCTGCCTTAGTCTTCCAAGAAGCTGAGATTACAGGCAGGGGCCACTGTGCCTAACTGTGAGTAATATTTTTATATTGGTTAAAACACAGACAAGGGCTGGGGCTGGGGCTCAGTGGTAAAGCACTTGCCTAGCATGTGAGGCACTGGGTTCAATTCTCAGTACTAATAAAAATAAATATACTGTGTGTTCATTTACAAAAAAAAAATTTAAAAAAACACAACCTAGATTAGAATCTAATTATGCTTTATATATATCCAGGATATTTAACAAGATGTTTAACTGTTATATTCCTCATCTTTAAAAAATGAGGATAAAAATAGTTTGTACCTCATATTGAGGGTCAAATTCGTTAATATATTTACATTTCTTAGAGTTTGTCATATAATTATATATTATGTAAGTGCATGTTATTGTCATGCAATCATTGTTGAACTGGTCACTCACATACAGTTTATCAGGACAGACCATTTAGAGTGTTAGTAGACCCAATAATTCTTCTGCATCTGGTTTTATGGCACATCATCATACCTTATCTTGTTATAAACCTGATCTCAAACTTGGTCAAATAAGAGAGATATTCCATGTTCACAGTAAATCGCTTCTGAACCAGTCTTTGTACTAATACAAATTTAATTGAAGGGAGTTATATTTAGAAGAATTGTACTCAGTTGTTCCTCAGTAGGAGTGAATGACTGAGTTGGTTTAATCTGATATTTTCCGACATAGAAATTTTCTTGTATCTCTTCTCAGAATGAATGTTATGAGTGGATCAACACATGTACTCACCTCCTTTCTCAGATCAAAGGCAGAAAAGTGAAGTTATTGACATCTGAAGAAAAAGAGAAACTACTTGAAGAAGAGGTATTTGTCACATGTTAGCATTATTTCATTTCTTTGATGCCTGGGATCTGTCATTATTTGGGTCATTATTCAGGTCCTTCTTGTATTTCATTAGGTGAATTTCAAGCAACTTTTTCCACTGAGTATTGCAAATCCTCATTATTTACTCTATCAGAAGAGAATTTGATCAAGAGCATTGGCAACTTTTCTCCCTTTTAAGGAAGAAAATCACCTACCCAAACATCTTGCCTCACTTTGTTGGCAGGTGGTTTTTTAAAAATTTGTTCTTTTTAGGTATACATGACACAGAGTATATTTTGACATGTTGTACATACATGGAGAATAACTTATTCTAATTAGGATTCCATTCTTGTGGTTGTACATGATGTGGAGTTTTAACATTGGTCGTGTGTTTATATTCAAGGTTAAGAAAGTTATGTCCAATTAATTCTATTGTCCTTCTTTTCCCCTCCCCTCCCCTTCCCTTCATTCCCCTTTTGCTGGTATGTGGATGTTAACCCACAACAAGGGAAGGTGGGGAGGGGAAGAATAGAAGTCCATTGGATTAGACAAATGGCAGGTAATTTTTTAATCCTACTTCATAAGGGAAGAATGGCTTCCAAGTACAAGCTCCCTGCTACTTCCTCAGATGCCTGCTTGTGTATTCACCCTTCTATCTCTCCAGCCTTAGTCTTTTTTTTTTTTTTTTTTTTTAGAGAGAGAGAGAGAGAGAGAATTTTAATATTTATTTATTTTTTTAGTTTTCAGCGGACACAACATCCTTGTTTGTATGTGGTGCTGAGGATCGAACCCGGGCCGCATGCATGCCAGGCAAGCGTGCTACCGCTTGAGCCACATCCCCAGCCCCTCCAGCCTTAGTCTTTACACCTGGTTACTTTTCCTTTGGACATTTAATCTCATGTCCAAAGTCTTCTCTCTTTTCTATCTATCTTTAGTATCTTTCTCTCTAATGGTTCCATTTTATCTATCTAAAAACAACCTATAAACACGGTTCATTTTTCCCATTTTTTAGAATCCCATCACAGTCACTTTAATTAAAATTCTAAAACTACTCGAAGGTCATCAGTGATTTCTTATTGCCTTGTCAAAGTATCTCTAATCCCATTTGCTTTTGGCGAACACTGTTAGAACATTATTCTTTCTATTAAACTAAATATAATATGCCTACTTTATCTTTTTCTACCCACAGGTCCTAATTCAGTCTTTTGGGTTAATGTAAATAAGGTGGCTTTGCCTTTCACATTACAGTATTCCCAGCATTTGAAAACAACCACATTCACTTAAGTCTGTTTCTGGATTTTCTATCCTTACCCATTGCTTTTTTCTATTTATGGATCATTACCACAACATTTTAATTTTTGAGGCTTTCTGATATATTTTCATATCTAGTAGGGCCAATCATTCTCATTGATCTTTTTTCCCAGGTATTTTTTTTTTTGGCTGTTCTTGCTTATTTATTCTTCTGTATAATTTTATCATTGAGCTCTAGAAAAATATGATTTTTTAAAAACTGAGAATATTAAATTTATATATTAACTTAGAACACATGTTTATCATGTTGGATTGTTTTAACCAAGAACATGGGATATAGGATGTCTATTTTTATGCCTTTGAGGTGAGTTCTTTATTTTGCCCAACCTCTTTTTATGACTAACTTACTGTCTTACTGTCCTAAACCCTTATCCTTGCACCACTTTGCAAGTTTGACTTTGGAATATGATTTACTTTCTTGGCTTTAACTAAGTCATATAACTGTCAAATCTCTATCTTTAGCTCAAATCCCTCCATATTTTCAGGTATTTACTGGATATATAAACTCAGATATTTCAGCAATACCTCAGACTCATATAGCCTAACCTGAACTCATCCCTCTCCAAACCTGTTTATCCATCTTTGTTCATTATGTCTGAATGGCATCATCATCTATCTAGTGGCCTAAATTATAAACCATGTGTCATTCAAGATGCACCTTTTCCCTAATCATCCAATGTCCATCTTTTTTTAAAAAATATTTTTTAGTTGTAGTTGGATGCTGCCCCTGACCTGTGAGGGCAGCTGATCTTCAGGTCACTCCTGTGAATTTCCAGGGACACCAAATAAAACACAGACACACACTTTACCTTTAAACAAGCTTCAAGATGGCTCCTCCGCTCTCAGCCTCAAGCTCCCCAAATGGGAGAGCCAGGAAAAGTCACAAGAGGCTGGCGAGAGAGAGCAAGCATGTCTGGAAATGGGCTTTTATTGGGGGGACCCTTGTTCTTAGAAAGTTCCATCCAAAAAAGGTCAGGAGGGGCAAGGTTACAAAGGACAGGCGAGTGTAATTCGACCCAAGGGGCTGCAGGGCTACACACCTACCTGTGAAGATGTGTCCTCAACTTCCAGAACCTGGGCAATGTCCAGGTCACTGCGAGATGTGGTGATGGTCAAAGCCTCTCCGGGGGCGGGGAGAACACGAATCATTCAGAGTGGCCTCCCACAGTTGGACACAGTACCTTTATTTTATTTATTTAATTTTATATGGTGCTGAGGATCCAACCCAGGACCTAGCACATGCAAGGTGAGCGCTCTACCTCTGAGGCACAACTCCAGCCCCCCATCCTATGTCCATCTTGTCAATCACAAGAGTTACCTCTAAAACATCTTGAGTGCTCTTCCTCTTCATCCCTGCAACCTCTGTTGTTCATTCCTGCTTTCTGTCTTTTTCTTCTCCCTTCTCTTTCATTCTCTTCCTCTTTTCCTTTTTTCTTTCTTTCCTTTTTCCTGCCTCATTACTTTCAGGGTAAAATCCAGTTTCCATGGCATGACCGTCTAGCCTGTCCTCTATGATTGCTCTTGTCTTCTTACTTACCTCAAATATTCTATTCAATTGAACTACTTTTATTTTCAAACCAGTTATTTACATACAAAATCCTCTGCCCAGAACCTCTTTGTGCTTTCTTCCTTCCTTTTCTTAGGCTACAAGAAAAAACTCAGACATCTCCAGGAAACCTGCTTGATCAACCTTCTCTTTCACTTGGTCTGCATTAGGTGCTCCCTACTGCATGACTATGGATATCTGTAGGATTTGTTGTCCACAAAATTGTAAGCTTCTTTAAGGCAGAGACCTTTCTTACCAACTTTTGTGTTCTTACCAAGGGCTCATAACCCAGTTGCAGAATTAGCACTCAATTAAGATGTATGAATAAATAATGACAGACAGTAAGCCTTGATTATAATATTGTGTCATCACACAGGAAGTTAGCAAAGACTTCATTGAACCTGAAATAGATATAGATAAGCCTTCTAAAGAGGATGAAGAAGAAAGTGAAGAGACTAAGGAATCTCAGGAGAGAGTGGAAGAGGAAGAAGAGAAAGCAGAAGAGGTATGATTATTTGCTGGGGAGTGGTAGTGGGTACCTGTAGTCTCAGCTGCTAGGGAGACTGAGGCAGAAGAGTTGTTTGAACCCCCAAGTTCAAAACCAGTCTGGTAAGCATACAGGTTAAGATTATTTCCTTCATCTTTTTAAGAAACAGACATAAGCCCCATGGAAAGTAGAAGTAGACCCTCTGGAGTGACTTTTTCCTTTTTTTCCTCATAGATCTAGCCACACCCACAGACACAATTACCCTGTGTCACTCTGTTTTCCTTTCTAAATCCAGCCTTTCTCCATTAGCTGCTTCATCCCTGTCCTACTAACTGCATGAACAACCTCTTACCCTGGTGCTGTTTCTTTGTCCTTCATTGCCAGATTTTTCAAATAGCAGTTTAAATTCCATATCTCCACTGATTCAGCTCCAACCCCAATCTGCTTTTACCTTTCTCCTGTCCCAGCCCCATATTTCTCCTCCCCATCCTAGTCTCTACCCCAGCTGATGCACTTGTAGTTATAAAATCCCTTCGTGGGCATTTGTATTAATATAATAAAAACACAATTGTAACTACCAATTATTGAGTTCCCATCATGAACTCTGCACATTCTTACCTATACAAAACAACATGAAGGTATAACATTATGCTCATTTATAGATAGGAAGATTAAAGCTCTGATAGGTTGACTGTATTACCCTAAACCATATAGCTTTAGTGGCAGAACAAACGTTCAAACCTAGATGAGCCTGGCAGAAGAGCGCTTGCGGATACTAGACTAACTGCTACTGTCTTTAGCTTACATAACTCATAACTGCCCAACACTGTCTCCAGTGCCTTGATTTACTTCCCTAATATTCTCTGCATATAGTTTTAACGTGGCCATGACTCCAGACCTTGTCCTGGGCCTTTTACTCACCTAAGGACAAGACAGAACAAAAATATTGTATAGTACCTAAGTCTCTTTTGACCAGCAGTTTCTGTTATTTCTGGTAAAGTTCTTGGCACATCGAAGGCTAGTACTTTTCCCTTTGTTTACAGCATAATAATAATAGCTATTATTATTATTATTATTTTATAATTATATAATAATTATTATATTTTTATTAATATTATCATTGCCTGTGGACTTAGTTCAGGCCTTTTCCTGTTTTATAAGTATCTGTTCAGCCTCCAAATGTCATTTTCCCAGTGAACACTTCTGGACAGAGTTTCTGGACAGAGTGCAAGCTCCTTTTCCTGGGTGCACACAGCCTTTGGGACACACTTTTATGCTAACAGTAATCGTGTTGTGTTTTCTTTGTTTTATTATTTGTCTTCCTGCTATACTGTGAGTTCCTGAGGCCTGGAAGAAATCCTCTGTTTTTCCCATTGGGATCTCCCCTTGTCCCCACCCCCTCTTCCCTAGCAATTTGTCAGTGTTTGCTGTGTGGACATTTTCAAAATGCTTGCTGAATGTTTAAGAAAATGGAAAATTAAAGCTTCAGACCTGGCTCCAGGTAACTTGACTTGCCACATGTCATACACCTGCTGGTTAACAGGTCCTTGGTGTTTCTGTAATCCAGATCCCTTCAACATCTACAGAGAAGGAAGAAGTCATTCGATATATTGAGGAAGATGAAAATGTTTATTCCAAACCTCTATCAGTAGAATATGTATTGGCTTCCTGGGTATGTATCTAAAACCCAACTAGGACACTTAAAACTAACAGTGTGTGAAAATGATGTGAATGTTGCATAGCTTTTAGTCCTCTAGGAGGATCAGGACTCCTAAGTAAGGTATTACACAGATTTTCTTTTTCTTCTAGCATCATCCCTGAAAAACTCTCATTTCTTTATCTTAACTTTCCAGAAATTTCTCATTCTCATCTTTAAGCCTCATTTTAATATCAGAATTTCATTCTTTTATTTTGTCAATCTCCTGGTCAGTATTTGATTAATTTTTAGACATATTCATTTAGCAGATTTTTTTTTCTGTCATGTTTTCCCCTGTTTTTCTGCCCCTTCCTGGGTAATTTATTTGGAAAATAATAAAGTAATTTCACTTTCATCAGTTTCAGTTATACCATGGTCAACCACATCTGAAAATATTACTTGGAAAATTCCAGAAATAAACAATTCATAGTTTTAAGCCACACATCATTCTGAGTAATATGATGAAGTTTCATACCATCCTGCTCTGTGCTGACCAGGATGACAGTTACCCCCTTTGTTCTGCATGTCTGTACTTATGTGCCACCTGCTTCAATAGATGCCCTAGTTATTAGATTGACTGTCACAGAAGCAGGACAGGCACTATTATGGTTCAGATGTGTTGAAGACCTGATCTCCGTCTGATGGCACTCTGAGGAGGTGGGAGATTTTTTAGGAGGTGTAGGACCTGATGGTTAGGAAGTTAAATCATTGCAGACATGCCCTTGAAGGGGATGTTGGGATATTGAATCTTCCTCTTTCTCTTTGCTTCTTGGCTATCATGAGGTAAATAGCTTTACTCCACCATGTGCCCCCAACTATGATGTTCTGCTTCACCCTAACCAAAGGCAGCAGGACTGAATGACCATGAACTGAAACTTCTGCAATCATAAACCAAAATAAATCTTTCCTCCTTTTAAAAGTTGTGTATCTCAGATATTTTGTCACAGTGATACAAAGCTGAATAGCACATAATATCTGCAGTTTCAAGTATCATCTGGGAATCTTGGAAAGTATATCCCCCATGATAAGGGAAAACTACTGTGCTGTCATTTATCAGCCTCAACCAGCAGCATGTGATGTGGCTATTTTTCATTCCAGGGATGCAAACTAGTTCAACATATGTGAATCAATAAATGCAATTCAATACACTTAAAGAATCACATGATTACCTCAACAGATGGAGAAAAAAGCATTTGACAAAATATAGCATCCATTCATATTCAAAACACTAGGAAAACTAGAGATAGTAGGAATATACCTCAACATTGTAAAAGTTAAACCCAAGGCTAACGTCATTATTAATGGAGAAAAACTGAAAGTATTCCCTCTAAAATCTAGAACAAGTCAGGGACACCCTCTTTCACCACTTCATTCAACATAGTCCTTGAAACTCTAGCCAGAGCAATTAAGCAAAAGAAAGAAATTAAAGGGATATAAGTAGGAAAAGAATAGCTCAAACTATTGCTGTTTGCTGGCAACATGACCCTACATTTAGAAGACCAAAAAATACTTGGGAATCAATCTACAAAAGAGGTTAAAGACCTCTACAATAAAAACTACAGAACACTAAAGAAAGAAATTATAGATGACCTTAGAAGATGGAAAGATTTCCCATGTTTTTGAATAGGCAGAATTAATATGTTAAAATGATCATACTCCCAAAAGCATGATACAGATTTAATGCAATTCCTATTAAAATTCCAATGACATTTTTCACAGGAATAGAAAAAAAAGTCATGAAATTCATTGAGAAAAATATGAGGCTCAAAATAGCCAAAGCAATCCTTAGCAAGAAAAGTGAAGCAGGAGGCACTATAATGCCAGATCTTATATTAAAGAGCTATAGTACAAAAATGGCACCAAAGCAGATATGAAGACCAGTGAAACAGAATAGAAGATGCAGAGACATGCCCACATCAATACAGTTATCTCATGCTAGACAAGGGCACCATAAATATACATTGTAGAAAAGATAGCCTTTTCAACAAATGGTGCTGGGAAAACTGGAAATCCATATGTAGTAGAATGAAATTGAATCCCTATCTCGCACCCTGCACAAAAACTCAATTCAAAGTGGATCAAGGACCTAGCATCAGACCAGAGACTCTGTGCCTACATTAAGAAAATATAGGCCCAAATCTCCATCGTGTCAGGTTCGGAACCAAGTTCCTCAACCTAGACTCCTAAAGCACAAGAAGTAAAATCAGGAACCAATAAAGGGGATGGTATCAAACTAAAAAGCTTCTTCACAGCCAAGGAAACAATCAAGAGTGTGAAGAGAGAGCCTACAGAATGGGAGGAAATCTTTACCACTTGCACCTCAGATAGACCATTAATTTCCAGAATATACAAAGAACTCAAAAAACTTAACACCAAACCCCAAATAATCCAAGAAATGGGCATGGGAACTGAATAGACACTTCACAGAAGTGTCAACAAATATATGAAAAAATGTCCAACATCTCTAGCAATTAGAGAAATGCAAGCTACACTGAGAGTCCATCTCACTCCAGTCATAATGGCAATTTTCAAGAATATAAGCAACAGTAAATGTTGGCAAGGATGTGGGGATAAGGTTCACTCATACATTGCTGATGGGGCTGCAAATTGGTGCAACCACTCCGGAAGGCAGTATGGAGATTCCTTAGAAAACTGGGAATGGAAAACATAAGAAGAGAGTACAATATTAGACTACAACTGAAAACAATTCATATAATTTTATTTCTCAGGTTTTAGTGAAAGGTAGTGAAGCAGCATAGTCACACACGTGAGGATGAGGCCCCAACAGGGCTTTGCTTGGTCCCATAGGACCCTATTTTGTGGCCGTCTGGCTACACACTTAAAACTCCCATTTCAGCTGTTATGTGGGGTTTTCCTTTTATTTCCCTCTGATTGGAAAAAAAAAAAAAGCAGGTAGATTTTTAAAAGCTCATACTTCTGGGGAAATAGAATATTCATTTGTAAATATGCTTATATTTTTTGCCTCTAATTTCCTCTTTCACATTCCTGTTACTTTGTTTTCAAGAATATATCTAGATTCAAAATATAGAGGTTATTTTTTTCCTTTTCCTGACAAAAATTTTATACCTTTAAGTGATTTTTATGATGTTCTCTAGTAGGAATTTAAAAAGATGTTTTTGGGGGGCTGGGGTTGTAGCTTTAAGTGGTAGAGTTCACAGCTTGCATGTGTGAAGCACTGGGTTTGATCCTCAGCACCACGTAAAAATAATAAAGGTATTGTGTCCCTCTATAACTGAAATTTTTTAAAAATCTTATTGGATTTTGCAACATTATGTACCTCATGAAGTAAATTATTAATAATAAGATATAGTTAATTTCCTTGATCTTTAATTTGATCTATTACAAAAACATGTTTGCCCTTCTTATTTTTTAAATCCTTGTTCCTCTCTTTTTGTTCTTATTGTGTTTCCTGCCTCTTGTAACTCATAGTGAAATTTATGCCCACTGTAGTATGAATAATTTGGAAGCTGCTGTCTGTTTGGTCACAGGTATCCTTGTTATTTTTTAGTGTTAATAACATGTGTAATAATCTACTGGACAAATATGAGGAGTAGAAAAAGAACATTCTGGAAGGCTTGATTTCAGATACCTAAAGAAGTAGAGTATTAACTTTAGGGACTTTCATTTCCTTCATATCATGTATTTTCTTTGTCAGAAAGAAGAAGCTGAGCAAGGTACATTGGCTCAAAAGCATGTTGAAGTATTGGCTGTAATTGAACATATGCAGGAGAAATTAAAGTAAGTATAAGGCAGAAAATGAAAGCTACTCACCAGGGGGTTATCTGAAAAATCTACATTTCTTGGCTTACCTTTAGCTGTCTTGCCTACTGTATTCTTACTAGTGTGGTGAGTATCTCCAAATCTTCTGCTAGAGGCAATAAACTGTAGTGCTCTGGAAGGAACATTTAGCCTCACCCACAGTGCAGGTAGGAGGAGTCAAAGTGTATGTATGTGCTCACATGTGCATCTGTGTGTAGGGAGTTAGGAGGGTCAGTATGTTTCTAACAGATGACTTAAGGAAATAAACAGAACTGGGAGAAATTATTGTACTTAAGAGAGAATGTTACATAGCCTAAAGAGTAGGAAGGGTAATGTAGTTAAGATGTCCAAGGATGCCAACAGAAGAGCAGGCCATATAGATATATAACATGTGCCCTAATAAGAGGCACATCTCAAACTGGTTTTTGTTGTTGTAGTTATAAAATCTGGTTTTAGAGGTGCAAGAAAAGAAGGGATGCTGTTATACTAATTTGTTGGATCACATCAATTATGTGAAGTCCAAGTTAATTACTGAAAGTGAGATAATTTTCATGAATTTAAAGTTTCATTCCTGACTATTGATAGATAATTTCAAATACCTAAAAGTCAGATTTTGCTAAAGAATAATAAGTATGTTATATTCTTAAATCACAGCATGATTCAACTCTAACATTAGGCCATAGTAGCTCCAAGGCCCTGAATTCTTGGTTAATCATTGATGTTCCTGCTTCCTGTATTTACACCCTTGGGACATGTTCATCTAACCCCACTGCCCTTTTCACATGATCAGTTTTTATCCCTTTTCAACACTTTTCATTTTGTTGTGTTTCTTTGGACATTGTCCAACAGAGAGGTTGAAAGCAGAGCCAGACAGGCAGAAGAGAAATTTGATGAAGTATATGAGAAGCTTCATTACACCCTCATAAAAAATAAAGATCTGGAAGGGGAACTAGAAGAAATTATCAAGATTAGAAAGGAATCAGAAGACAAACAAGAAAAATATGAAAGAGGAAAAGAAGAGAAAGTTAAAGTGGTGGAAAAACAAAAGCAGGAGGGTGAGGAGGAGGAAGAAGAAATTTAGGCCAATAGAAATTTACTCAAAACCTCTAAAGAAAGGTGAGATTTGCTTTCTCGTTTTGCTTTATTTAGATTGTATTTATGAAAGAAAACAAGATTGTGCCACAAATATTTTAAAAGAGTAGCATATCTTTAGTGCTGATCCGCTAATCTATGCTTCTGATAGGCTTACACATATATTTCACTAGCTTATTGGACAACTCACGTAAAGGAAACCAAGTAACTAGAGGTAGTGGACAAATAAACATGAAATACAACATTTACTTAAAAAACTGGCAAAAGTTTCTTTAAGTGAAATAAAACTGTTTATCATAAGTAACAGCATAATTGTTTTATAATGTTCTTATTAGTGTTTTAAATATTATATGTACATAATAGTGGGGTACATTTTGATATAATCATACATTCCTGGAATATAATTTGCTCTATTTCAGTCCTCTCTATTCTTTATCCCTCCACTTGTTCCCTGTCCTCTATTCCACTGGTCTTTTTTCTATTTACCTATTGATTGTTTAAAGTGGTGCTTTATAGGTATACATAAAAATGAAATTCACTGTGTTATATTCATGTATGTACTTAGCATAATTTGGTCAATTTTTTAGAATATAATTTGAGACTAGGGATGTAGCTCAATGGAAGAGTGCTTGCCTAGTATGCACAAGGCCTGCCAAAAAAATAAAAATAAATATAATTTGAGAGTAGGTATGGGTATTCCTTAAAACATGCATATATTCTACTTACAATGTCACTCTTGAAAATCTGGCCTAAAGAAATAGCTGCTGTGGTGACATGTGCCTATAGTCCCACTTTTGGGAGGCTGAGGTGAGGATCCTTTGAGCCCCTGAGTTTGAGATCAACCTGGGAAACATAGTAAGACCTCATCTCAATCATCATTATCATCATTATCACCATCATCATCATCATCATCATCCTGATCCTGGGGGCTGGTAGTGTGTTTACCTAGCAGGAACAGTTCCAGGGCTTCCCCCCACCGCAACCAAAAAATCTTCAATATAGCAAAAAGTTTAATGTGCAGAGGTGTTTGGTATATTAACGTATATAATAGGAAAAATAGAAACAATCCACCTTTTCACTCATGGAAGAAATTTTAAATAAATCATGCTATCTCAATATACTTGAATATGCAACTATTAAAATAGTATTTAAAGGAGGGTTCAGTAACAAGGGAAATTTTTATGTTAAATATGAAATGCAAGAAATAGGATATGACTTTTTTTAAGGTTAGAAGACCAGAAATAAATATGACCAAATACTGATAGACATTGTGTCTGGATGATAGAGATTTATGGAGAATTTTGTCTTTATGTTGGATTTTCTATTATTCAAAAATTTAATTCTTCAGGAAGAGGAATTTGACTTTTCATTTCTTATCTCTATGTGGAACAGTAATCTGCCCACAAGAAATTCTCAGAGTCTTCACTGCTGGAGACTGTTTCATTTTTGCTTTTATCTCCACCCTGTGTTCCATTTCCAGGACAACTCCTGGTATAAGAGATGGTACTGGGAAAGTATCTACTCCTGTTCTCTGCTGTCACCCCTGCCTCACCCCCTGCAAAAGCAATGAAGTTAGCCAACCCTCACCATTCCCAGCCCTGGGCACAGATTCACTAACAGTGTTTGAAGAAAGAGTTTCAACTCATTTTCTCTTCTCCTTTCAACTCTGAACTGATCAAAATGTTATTTATTCTAAGTGTGACAATCCTTTAGTTTTAGGTTTTGAATATATGTGAGATAATTTTCATGAATTTAAAGTTTCATCCTCTCAAATTCTGGATGAAGCTTTAATCCCAATAATTTTAAAACTAGACCTTTTCCAGATTTAAAAATATAAGCATGCAAACCATACAAAACATTTTCAAGTTAAATTGGAGAGGTTACCTTAATATGGAATGAAGGACTTGGGTTTTGCCCATTTTCACAAATATCTTGAGGGTTAATGTGTTTTAGTCAGCTTTACTCAATGTGACCAAAAGACTTGACAAGAATGATTTAGAGGAATTATTTTGGCTCACAGTTTCAGAGCTTTAGTCCGTGGTCAGCTAATGCCATTGCTCTGGGCCTGAAGTGAGGCAGAATATCTTGGTGACAGGCATGGCAGAAGGAAGTAGTTCAGGCATGGCAATCAGGAAGCAGAGAGCTCCATTCATCAGGGATAACATATAAAACCCAATCATGTCCCCAGTGACCTATTTTCTTCAACCACACCCTACCTTCCTACAATTAACCCCAGTTAGTTCATAAAAGTGAATTAATCCACTTATAATATTTACTCTCATGATCTAATAATTTCACCTCTGAACATTCTTTTTTAAAAAATTTTGTAGTTGTCGATGGACAGCATGCATTTATTTTATTTGTTTATTTTTATGGGGTGCTAAGGATCAAACCCAGTACCTCACACTTGCTAGGCAAGCCCTCTGCCACTAAGCTACATCCCTGAACATTCTTGCATTGTCTCACACATGAGCTTTTGGGGAACACCTTATATCTAAACCAAATTAAACCCAGAATTGAGAAGTTTTAGTGATTTAAGTAGAGGTTAAGTATATGCAGTTATCTCCAATCTGCAAACAGTAACCTACACACAAAAAAAATTGTCACCCTTACCCCTTCTACTATCAAAGTCATTGCCAGGGGGATCAAAAGGGAAAGATGAGAAGCTTTGCAAAGCTTAGGATAGCTGACTCCTAAGCAAGCCGATATCCATTCAGGCAGTTGACCTGAACTGTTTCTCCCCAAAAATCCCCAAGTCTAACATTTCTTAAAATTAGCAAGTAGCCCTTTAAAGAATTCAAACACCTCTGGAGCAGTCTGATACTGCTATATTTGTGTGAGTTAGTGCAAGTGAAATCACTTTTTTCCTGAAAGTTGTGCAGTAAAGGAAGGAACATTCTATTATGGTAAAGAAAAGAGCATGTGATTTGTTGAGTAAAGAAAAGACCTGGATAGAGTAGGGGAATATATTTTTTTGTATGTTTATGATTAGCAAATCACTGTAGAGTAAGTTGTGAGTGAAGAAAGGGGAGTTTACAAAGATGAATATGGTTTATCCTGGATTCCAGTGTGGGCCTGTGATTACATGTGGGGAAGACACTAAAAGCAGTGCACATGGTAAACTAAAGTGACCAGAGGTGCATTGGAGGTAGCAGCAGCCAGTCTGTAGGATTCACATTGGGAAGTGGGGAATCATGGACCCACTTTTCATGTCATGCCAGGGAGAGCAGGCTTGATGCCTAGAGGCCTCTTGTGCTCATCCCTGTCTGTGCTCACAAGTCTGGAGAAAGAGGGTGGGAAACAGCAGAGGTGTGCTGAATGGAAAGGGAAGATCCTGAAGATTAACTCTATTTGAATTTTTTTCCCATTAAAATTGAGATATGTACAAGAGGATGGAGGAAATATTCTTTCTCTTCTTTGCTTCTCAGTCACATAGTCCCCTGCCCCAGGACCTAGAGTGCAAGCAATTTAACTGATCACACTTAAACTTTGGGAAATGTGTTCAAAATCTCAGTCACTAATGTGGAGTCAAACTTTTGGCACACAACTTGTCCGTAGTATGAAAGTTACTCCGGCAGAATGGAATTTTTAAACTGCTATTAAAGCTAAAAGCCATCGTAAGTATAAGTATTATTACTATGATATTCTAATTGTTTTTTTCTTTATAGAGTAGAGGTACAACGCAAAGAAAGTAATCCTGATGGTAAAGCCAGAATCTGGACTAAATCCATTAACAAGATAAATCCAAGTAGCATCCAAAGTATGCTGGGTGGGGTTCACAGTGGCTACATCACTGACACACCCAGATAGTACTGAGCTAAAGAGCTGACACGTGGCTCAGTTGGAGGACTCCCTTTGCAACAGCTACTAGAAAAATCACAGTATAAAACAGAAGAGCATTTTCTCTTTAAAAGCACAGCAGTGGCTGTGGAGATCAGTGCATTAGCTTACTTCCCAGATTAAAAACACTTCCTGCAAAAGTGTGCTAGCCTCTTCAATTAATTTTCTGAGAGGTATGTGAAAGTACCAGTTTCTTTTTTTCTTTAATTTGTTATTTTTAGATACATATGACAGTAGAGTGTATTTTGGTATTTTGTACACACATGGAATATAACTTCTGATTCTTGTAATTGTACATGATGTGGAGTTACACTGGTCATATATTCATATATGAACATAGGGAAGTAATGTCTGATTCATTCTATTTCTTTCATCTTCCTATCCCCCCTTCCTTCGCTTCATTCCCCTTTGTCTAAACCAATGAACTTCTCTACTTCCCTTTGGGCCCCCTTATTGTGTATTAGCATTTGCATATCAGAGAGAACATTTGACCTTTGGTTTTTTGGGATTGGTTTATTTCACTTAGCATGATAGTCTCCAGTTCCATCCATTTACTGGCAAATGCCATAATTTCATTCTTCTTTATGGTTGAGTAATATCCCATTATGTGTATATATTACATTTGGTTTATTCCTTCATCTGTTGAAAGGCACCTAGGTTGACTCTATAGCTCAGTTATTGTGAATTGAGCTACTATAAACATTGATGTGGCTGTGTCAAAAAATACCAGTTTCTGTCAAAAAAACAAACAAACAACTATACTTTTTAAAGACTTTAAACTCGGCAGAAAGGACTGTCAAATAAAAGGCTTTATTTTTTCAGTTTAGAAGAGAGGATCCTGATAATGCCTTAGGTTTCTGTAGTGTTATCAGATTTCTTCTGATTTTAGGCATTCTTAGGATTTTTCTTCACATAACCCTATAAATAGGTGGAGAAGATAGTTATCTGCATTTCTCAGAAGATGAAACCACTGCCAAGAATGGGACTAAAAGATGTCCTGAAGTCACAGAGCTGATTGGTGTGAGCCCACAGCTCACTGGACTCTCATCTACAAGGAAGACCTTCAGAAGTGTGGGGAATTAGCTCCTCATCCCCCAGGCCTGGTTCTTCACTACATATCTACACCTACTCCACGCATGTGGGCATCATGAGAGTCTTTCCTGCAAGATCTGGCCCTACTCATATAATTGGTCCCACTGCCTTTAGCACAGGAGTAGAAATATCTCCAGAGAAGGGTCTGAGGTATTCCCAGAGGAGAGGGGAGAACTCAAGACCAGTGGGGTTCTTGGTATATGTGATGAAAAGAATTTCAGCACTTGTCAGTCAAACACAGAGGTTTATTTAGGAAGTAAACACATATTCAAGGGAGAATTCAGGCAGTCATTAAGAGTGAGAAGCCTCTCCTTGGATTGGGGGTCTAGTATTTACAGGGAGTCTGAAATTAGGAGCAAGACTGGAGGTAGAACCATGGTAGACCCAGACAATTGCACACCAATTTCCCCTGCACTCGCATGTTTCCCTTATTTTACAAGGGCATGTCACTCAGGATTTCTGTGTCTCAGTGGTTCATGGCAATTTCCTTTGAGATTCAGTACAACTCTCTTTCCTATATTCCTAGACTTGACCATGGTCAGGCCACTTGTCTAGTACTTTGTAGCTCATGTTTACTATACTTTCCTCTGGTCTCAAATGTGTTAATTAGCTTTCTATCATGGTAATGAAATGCCTGAGTTAATTTATGAAAAGAAAACAGTTATTTCTGGCTTACACTTCTGGAGGTTCCAGTCCCTGAATGAGTGGTCCTATTTCTTTGAGCTTCTGATGAGGCGGCACAACATGCTGTGAGTGCATGGTGGAACAAAACTGCTAACTTTGTTAGCCATGGAACTGAAGAGAAAGAACACGAAGAGACCAGGGTCCCATAATCTCTTTCAAGGGCACATTTCCCATGACCTAAAGATCTTCCCCTGGGCCCCCCCCCCACCTCTTAAAGGTTCCACCACTTCCCACTAGTGCCACCCTGTGGAGCAAGCTTTTAGCTTTTGAAGAACACCCACTCAAAGGTACTGGACTTTCCTAGCTAGATATCAGAGACTCAGGTATTACCTGGCAAACCTGCATCTTGCACTTTACTTTCAAAAACTGCTAGCAATTCTGCCTGCAGGCTCAAAAGCTCTAGAGCATTATCTGCATATTTCTGGGATCCCAAATATGTATCTTATCTAACAAAATATTTTCACAGAAGAAGCAAAGTGAGTTTCTCCAAAATTAGAAATATAAATGCTATAGCCCTGATGCATAGGATCTGCATACCTGCAAAACGGAAATGCTTGCTGAGAATGATGACCTCTATAGCCATATTGGGAGAAATCAATGCCTAGAATTCATTAGAACTTGCATCTTTCTCTCAGAAAAATGGAGAGCTATTCTGACCAACTCTCCATAGCCTCAAGGTCATTTCCAATTTAGGATTACTCAGCAAGTTCCCTAAGCAGTCCCAATGCAAGCATGGCCATTAGGCTTGGATATTGCTCTTGTTCTTGAAAGACCAATGAAAGGGCCCCTGCAAGAATGCAGTATCTTCTGTTTGGAGATCAACATTTTACATTTGCAGGGTTTGGGCCCTCTAGGAACACCTGATTTGGCAGAGGCACACTTTAAGCTACCTCTTTTTTTAAAAAAAAAATATTTTTTAGTTGTCAATAGACCTTCATTTATTTATATGTGGTGCTGAGGATCGAACCCAGTGCCTCGCACATGCTAGGCAAGTACTCTATCACTGAACCACAACCCCAGCCCATATCTCTTGACCAGACATAAGAAACACTCCAAAAGTGTGAAGACAGGACAAACAATCCCCATGATCTACCTTGCTATGCAAACTTCTTTTTGACAGATAAGATGTCCTCATTTCTTCCGACAGCCCAGATCTTCAACAGATCATGGAGTTGACAAAGTACTCCTGGTAATACATCACCCATTTTTCTACTCTGGCTATCCCAGTGATAAAGCCCAGGCAAGAAAGAGAAGATTATGTGATTTCTTCTGCCCTGCTTTTACTCTGCTATGATCCCAAATGGCTGTCACTTTGAAACAAATTCTGGTTAGCTCTTGGGTTGGGGATCCAGTATTTACAGAGACTCAAACACAGGAGCCCACATGTGCAAGTCCTGAAGCTATTTCTGTCCCAGAACAACCACTCTGGGAGTACTGGCCATCAGGGCTACCTACCTTTAAAGCATGGAAGCAACATGTGGAGTGGAAGGCTTCTAGGTGGATGCAGCCTGACTGCTGTCACTTATTGCTACTGGGGTAAAACCAGAATAGTAGTGATAGCCATTATTTATTGAGCATTTGCCTTGTGTAAGCTTTGTGCTATGCTAGTATTTCATATATTTGATCTCATTTAGTCACGATAGCTTTCTGAAGTGGGCTCTGCTTTCATCCCCAAATATACTCAGGATAAGTAGCATGCCCATATCACCTAACAGCTTGTTAGGTGACAAAGCCTGAATCAAATCTAGTATATCTGACAGCAGGGTCCAAGATCTCAGCTACAGTGAGAGAAGTTCTCAGCTTCTCTCTGAACTCAGAGACCAGTTGGTAACCCATCTTTCAACAGACTTGATTTCCACACATATGCTTAATTCTCAGCTTAACTACTGAGCTAGTGTGCTGACAAACAAGCCAGAATTCTAGAGGACTTGGAAATCATAGTCCCAACATACCTACCGCTAAAGAACACTATAAACAGGAGCAGTCTAACAAAGAGCTGCCCACACATGGCCCCCAAGGATGTGGAATGCAGAGGCATTGACAGAATGACCTGATGGGCCTTCCAGATAGGGGAGTCCCAACTACAAAGCCTCTGATATACCCTGATACTGCTGGTGAACCAGGGTGGCCCTTGAAGTTCTAAGAAGGGTCTCCAAAGCCTCCTTGAAACACTTTTCTGGTCATTTCAAGCCCAATAGCCTTCAACTTACCAGCTCTTAAGCCACTCATCCACACAATAAACAAATCTAGCCTGACCAGTGGTTAACACCTCACTGTAATCCCCAAATGCCATGCAACACCATTGTCATAGGATATGCCATAGACTTTTCCCGCTCTCATGACCAGTCACTTTGGTCATAATGGATTCCAACATTGAATTGGATCATTTTTTGACCCCTTTATCAGCTTACTGGCACCATGTTAATATAAATCCCAAAGAAAAACTGTTAACTAGAACATGTCACAGTTTTGGATTGGATTGTCCAGCTTTTCTTTCATTTATTTCAGGGTCAGTAACCAGTAAGAATGCAGCACCTGGTCTCAAGAGAAGACCAGCTGCTTGGCCAGCACTGTCAGCTCACCTATTCTCTGAAGAATCTGTGCCCACATATGATCCTTAAGAACAGGAACTGGGGAGACTTTCCTTTTAATGAAATATGAATATAGAGGCAGTTTTTGAAAGAGAACCAAATAGTGAGGCACTCGGGTTCCCACCATATCTGCACCAGCAACATAGAAATTCCCATTACAGATAACATTGTACTAATATTATTTGAGTAATATTAGTAACATTTTATAATGCTACTGATTTTTTAAATTTATAGAAAACTTGCAATACACTTAAGTTTGCCTTTTTGTTTTGTTGGCTTATTTTCCTATAGATATGCATTTCTAATTGTGTAAGGCAAATTAGTGGGAAATAAGACTTGTATTATAGGAATGTATATTAAGAAATGTTTACCTAGGGAAATAGTTCTCAGGACATGTATAGATAATACATTATATCTGCTTAAAGAAATAAGCAATCTGGTAAATTCTATACAGAAAATACATTACTCTCAGCCCCTATTTAGAATGATTCTTCCTCTGATTTGAAGCAATATATATATATCAGATAAATGTTATCCTTTTACTTATTTTTATTTTTGAAAGAACCTCCAAGTAATTTAAAAATTTCCTTAATTGTGTATAAATTTATATCCAATCTGAGTGCATCTCTTTTCTTTGCATTCATTCAGAAACATTTAGGTGTCACTAAGGTGCAACGATCAGAATTAGGCTCAAGGAATATGGAGTGGAGCCAAAAGACTGAAGGTGGTGGGTGAAGGATGTTAGATGCCCCTTTGAAGACCCAGTAGTAGAGCCATAGAGAAGCTAACACTTTAGGTCCAGGGTTACAGCTGAGTGTAGCAAGCATGGTGATGGGGCTCAGAGAAAGGGCTGCAGGAGCTGCAAGACCTTGCCAAAGGGGCCAGAGGAAAAAGGACATTTGATCTAAATCTTCAAATATCAAAATTGACAAACTTATTTCCAAATTATCATGTTGACCAAAGCTCTTTCCCGTAACTACTCTGCTTAGATGACTCGCCTAAACCTGTTAGATGCCTCCTGTACTGACTTCTCACTTATGTGGCTGCATTGCAATGCCGTGCATTCAAAGAGCATTCCATGTGGCAGTGGAAGAAAGGAACTGATGACTGAATGTCTCACTGGGATGTGGCTTTGAATGGCAGGCCTCTTCACAGCTGCATTATCCTTTGTGCACCCACCCCTATAACATGGGAGAGTCTTTCTTCTTGGGATTTAGTGGCTCAACAGGTTTGGAAGAATTTGGGAAGGGGATGCTCCCTTGAGTTCTGTTGCTAGGAGAAGACAGGAAATTTAGCAGGTCAAAAGGCAAAGGTAAAACTACAGTGGAAGGTTTCTCTGTGGACAAAGACTGAAGGGTGTGGAGGTATCGAAGCTGAACAGCAGCTGGGGTTCCTGACAGAATCTCAGCAGCCATCCTCAGGGACTCAGAAGCAGCCTTTTCCCCTTCTGCAGCAATCATCTAGAAAATAAATGTGGAAAACACAAAGTGATTGTGCTTCTTGGTTCCAAGAGGGCTGTCAGTGGGACCCAGTGTGGCAGGCACTGTTCAGCACAGGAGAACAAATTCAGCTGCTTTCTAAAGACTGCTGAGCTAGGGAAGACCCATTAAACTACTAAAATGTAAGGTGAACTTGTTATAGACCATGAAAAGTATAGACTGTTAGGGGAGTTCTTGTCTGGTGGGCTTGAAAAGATTAGTAGGGATTTGCCATACAGAAGAAAAATTGGCCAGCTTTCCTGGCAGAGGCATGGGATTACAAAAAGGGTAACTTTCAATTTGGCCAAAATAAAGGACAAGCATTTCAGAAGAGGAGACACCAAGCTCATCAGCCAAATGCCACCTGAAAGCAGGCAGAGAGGACTAGGCTCAAGGATCTAGAAGCAACTCTGCCCAGAGGACACTTTTCTCCCCTTCCCCCTCCTCCCCATTCCCCTCAGGTCCAGTTATTAATCCTCTTATGCAGTTTGGGCTTTCCTTCACCTAATCCCTGTTCTTTGAGAGAAATCTGCCTCCCTTCATCCTCACTTTCCTCCACCTCAATTTGAGGAAGCTGTGGCAGCCAGATCTTTTCAGCTCTCTGGCTACTGAGAAGAGTCATGAGCAGCACAGCCTTCTCTTGGCTCCAGCAGGGAGGGAACTGGGCTCTGACTATGATTGTGCCTTCAAAGCTCATGCAGAGCTCTGGATATAGGCCTGGGATAGCCTAATGTCATTAACCTAGAGGAGATAGGTAACTGAGATGCTAGCACAAGAAAAGAGGGATGATGAGGGAGGAGAGAGCGTGAAAGCAAGACTCAGGGAGAAGACAGGCACAGTTAGCAGCCGCTTTGGTGAGAGGGAGGGGTGCAGCCCAGATTGAACTCATGGGTACTCAATCACTGAGCTACACTCCAGCTCTATTTTGAATTTATTTAGAGACAGGGTCTCATTGAGTTGCTAGTACCTCGCCATTGTTGAAGCCAGCTTTAAACTTGTGCTTCTCCTGCCTCAAACTCCGGAGCCACTAGGATTACAGGCGTGTGCCACCGTGCCCGGCTACTAACACACTCTTAGAGCAATTTAGATAGCATGTCAGGAACCAAACCAGATTCCCCTGGGCCTGGATGAAGGGAAGCATGGAAAGAAAGGGGAAATGCTCCTTGCCAGCAGGCCTTCCTGCTCTGGGTTCTCTGTGCTCCTGAAAGAGCAGCCTTGGTGGGGGACACTGTTCAATGCTGGCTCACCCGCACTTTGGCCTGTCTTTGCGCTTCTGCCTCCACAGCCAGTGAGTGCTGAAGCCCAGCCGGCAGCCGCACATCCTTACTGCAAAAGAAAGAAGGTGAGCGTGTAGATGTGCAGTCTTGGCCAGACTTTTCCTCAGGTTTGCACCCTTTCTACAGGAGAGCAAATGCTGACAACAGTGTGCTGTCCCCAGAGCCCTAAGGTGGCAAGGAGGTGGAGAGAGCACATCCCGTGCGGTGCCTCCAGTGTAGGTGTGGAGCACTAGTGTGGCTGCAGAGGGACTACGATGTCCTCCTCTTAAACATTTTGTGTTCCTGGGTTGTAATCATTTTTCCCACTTAAGATTTAATCTAACCACTAGTGGTTAAATTTGAGTATGAAATACCACCTTGAAGAACTAAAAAATTAATAACGAAGATAAGGGGCATTCATCTAAGTTTATAAAAGAGAAAAAATTGATTTTGAAATGAGGAGGATTGATTAAATAAGAACAATCTTATTGTATCACATCAAAGATACAAAAGTATCTCTTTATCCCAATGATAAATGAAAAATTCATATATGGAACCATTGAGCAGTTTCTGAAAAGATTTATAAAGTTAGCATGTAACCAGTAATGCTATTTCTAAGTATATAGCCAAGAGAACTAAAAACATATTCACACAAAAACTTTCAAATGAAAGTTTATTGTGGGGCTGGGGATGTGGCTCAAGTGGTAGCACGCTCGCCTGGCATGCGCAGGGTGCTGGGTTCGATCCTCAGCACCACATAAAAATTAAAAAAAATAAAGATGTTGAAAAAAACAAAAAAGAAAGTTCATTGTGGCATTTTCCCTAATTGCCAAAAAGTGGCTGATGGAGGATAAACAAAATTTTGTATAGCTAGACAATGAAACTTTATTTGGCTATAAAAGAAATGAAGAACTGATACATACTACACCATAGATGAACCTTGAAAACATGCTAAATGAAAAGAAACCAGACACAAAAGGCTCAACATATGATTCCATTTATGTGAAATGTTCAGAATAGGCATGTCCACTGAAACAAAAACTAAATTAGTGGTTGCCAGGGGATGAGGAGCGAGGAGGAATGAGGAGTTCCTGCTTAATAAGAACTGGCTTTCTTTGGGGGTGATGAAAATATCCTGAAATTAGATCAAAGGGAATCTGAGGACTTTGTAAATGTCCTAAAACCACTGAGCTGCACTTTGAAATGGCTAAAAGGGTAAATTTTATCTTTTAAAAAAGATTTTTTTTAATGCATAGCAAAAAAACCCCATGAGACTAATTTGCCCAAATGTCATAGTGGTTATATTTTGGCTACAAGATGTTACATAATTTTGTCTCTTTTTCTCTAAACTTATACTAGTGTGGCTATATTACTCAAAATAATTTTTCAAGGAAAATTTTTAAATGAAACCAAAGTATTTCCCTTTATCATATTGTTTATCATGATCATTTTCCTACCCACATTTCTATTCTCTCCACTTTGATTCCCCAAATACAGGTCACTGAATCCAAGGCAACCTGTGGAGGGAAAAAGATGAAAGGTCAGCAAGAGCCTGCAGGTAAGAGCAGGGCACACCTGTGCCCCGATGACTGTTGTTCTGAACAGAGAGAGCCCATTTCCTTTGAAAGGATGGTATTTGGCCACTTTGTTTCATTAAATTCCACAGGATCTGGCATGGGGCGATTTGACTTGGACAGTGTCACTCAATAAATATTTGTGGAACTAAACATGGCATGGTAGGTTGAATAATGGCCCTAAGGATGTGCATGTCCTGGTCCCTACAACATCTCACTGTTACCAAGAGGGACTTTGAAGAGGTGATTAAGTCAAAGGTCCTGGAGATGGGGAGATTATGCTGGGATATTCAGCTCAGCCTGAAATGTAATCATATGTGTCCTTGTAAGAAGGAGGCAGAGGGAGATCTGATACAGAGAAGTTGATGTGACCAGGGAAGCAGTTTGGAGTGGTGCATTTTGAAGATGAAGGAAGGGGAGGAAGGGGCTGAGGAACATAGGTAGCCTTAAATGCTGAAAGGGCAGGAAACAGGTTCTCCTCGAAGCACCTCCAGACAGAATCAGTCCTGCTGACATCTCAGCTTGAGCTCAGTGAAACTGATTTCAGACTCTGGTCTTCAGAAATGTAAGAGAATAAGTACATGTTGTTTTAGCTACCAAATTTGTGGTAATTTGTTACAGAAGCAAAAGAAAAGCAACACAAATGGTATATTTATTCAATTTGTTTTAAAATGTCTATTATTTTCTATTTAGTCTCCCTGCCAAGTGGTTGTCATTGATAGGGCACTTTCTCTTCCTCACTGCTGGGAGACATCAATGCCCTCTTGCTTCCCAGTCTCCCCTGCCCTCCACAGTTGAAGCTAGAAACAGGAGGGGGAAGAAAAGCAATTTGGATTGTAGAAAGGAGGGGCGGGACACAGAGCCCTCCATGTTGGCCTGTTTATCTTTTAAATTACACAATGTCTGATTTATGGAAAGCAACACACCTGTCTTTTTCTTTGGCCTTCGTTTTCCAGGCAGAGATATTCTTTCACTTGTTTGAACAGTCTATTTGCGTAACAGCCTTTGGACAAATCTTATTACACTTTTGTTATAAATGGGCGTATTTCCATCTATGGCTTTAAAACACAATTTTTACATTTTACTCTCCAGTTATCAGGCATTGTCTGAGAATATAATACAGCCATTAGCAAAGAGACCTCCCCTAAATTCTGTTTTCTTTTTCTGTATTGGGGATTGAACCCAGGACCTGTGCATGCCAGGCAAGCACTTTACAGCTGAGCTGCATCCCCAGCCTTTTTGTTTGTTTGTTTGTTTTTTGTTTTTTTAATATTTTAATTGTAGTTGGACACAATACCCTTATTTTATTTATTTATTTATTTATTTTATGCTGAGGATCCGACCCAGGGCCTAGCACATGCTAGGTGAGCGCTCTACCCCTGAGCCCCAGCCTCAGCCCCAGCCCCAGTTTATTTTGAGATGGGTCTTGCTAGGTTGCCCAGGCTGGCCTGGAACTTGTGATCCTCCTGCCTCAGCCTCCCAAGTAGCTGGAATTACAGTCTTGTACTGCTTTTTTCTTTTTAAATTTAGTGGATGATTTCTTAGTGGCTAGATAAGTAATAACTTAATGCATTGAAAGCCCTGAGAAGACTAATTTGAGAGGAAGGAATATTGATAAATACACCACAAAGGAGATGGCATCTTAAAGAACAAACAAGATTTTTTCCTGTGGAGAAAAAAAAAGAATTCCAAGCAGAGGAAACATCTCAGGAGGAGGCAGGAAGCATAAAAGTGCTAGATCTGGGCAAATGCTAAGTAGGTTCCAGTGTTAGATTTAGTGGAAGAAGGACGGCAAGAGCTAAGGCTGTAACAGTTGTGTCCTTTCTTCATTCACCCCCCCCCCAAACGTCTGCTGTGTGACAAGCCCCATGCCAGATCTGAGGCAAAAGGATGAATAAAATATGGCACCTGCCTTTATGGAATTCATAATCTGGGAAGACAAATGTATGGACACATAAATATAACTCAGCATAATAAGAGCAAGCTTGAATGTCAAGAGTCTGGACTCATACTACCCTTCAGAGGAGAGGGGTGAATAAGGGGAGGCTGAAGGATCAGTGGGGGACTGTGTCAAGTGGCTTCTAAAATCCAAAGCAGCAACTCCCTCTTCTTTTTCTTTTTCCAGCTTCTCTTATTTTCAGACTTCCCTTTTCCATCAGGATGCAAATCCCAGGTTTGTTTGTTTGTTTGTTTTGTTTTGTTGTTGCTTTTTCTTTTCTTTTGTGGAACTGGGGATTAAACCCAGGGTTTAGCAAATGTGAGGCAAGCACTTTGACAATCCCAGTTTTATCAGTAACAAGTTGGACAAGTCACAGACATTTGTACCCTGCATTTTTTTTTTTTCAGATTAGTGACTGCTCAGTTTCTATAAAGCACAATCATCAATGCCTTTGATTCTTAGGGTCTTCCTAAGGTCCTCTTCTAACTAGGTCTGATTTGCAACCTCCTAATCCAATTCTGGGCCTGGCTGCCCCTATGACTTGGATGACAGACTCAGTGGTAACTGCCACCTTGCTGGCCAGCTGCCTGGAATCCTGCTTCATTCTTCTTGTCTTCTTAGTACCTCTTGCCAACTCTTCTTGGTAAGAATCAAGGGCGTCCACCATGGCCATGAATAAGATTCCTGTTTGCTACCTGTGGGCCAGATGAGGCTGTTTGGGAGGCAGCTTTTACTCTATTCCTCCCTCTACTAATTCTAAATCAATTAAATCTAGACAGTTGATTGGGTAATTAATCATGATAGGGTAGGAGACATCTTCCCTCTTCCCTCTGAAAGTACATAGCATCATTTCATTTTGTGCACACTGTGCTTGTTTCCTCAGCTAGGCTGGAAGCTTCGAGGAATCACATCTTATCCTTTTTGTATACCACAACCTCTCCCGTCTATCTCTATCAGCGCTGCCAGCAGCCACTCCCAACACTTGGTACTATGTGAGAACTTCACAATGAATTTAAAGTCACTGGGTGGCTTTTGGGGAAGAGTTGAGAACAAAGTGTTCATCAGGACTGGTGATTATAATTGATTCAGGGTCACTTTTCTAACTTCCTAATTAGCTATAAGCTCCTTAGGGATGGCAACTTGAAGAGATTCAAGTGTGGCACATGGAAGATTTAATAATTGGCCAGTGAACAGATGATTAAAAGATATAGTTTAGAGCTGGGATTGTGGCTCAGTGGTAGAGTGCATGCATGAGGCACTGGGTTCGATCCTCAGCACCACATAAAAATAAAAAATAAAGATATTCTGTCCACCTAAAACTAAAAAAATAAATATTAAAAAATATATAGTTTAATATACTCAATATTAAATGTAGTAAGTACCTTTACATCTTGAGCAATGCTCTTCCTCTCTAGAAGAATTTCAGTGAGGGATCGGTGTGCCAGAAGACGCTTCATGGTGGTTTGCACAAGGAACTGGACAGCCTTAGACACATGAGCCAGGCTGCTTAGGAGAAGAGAGGCATTTTCCATTCGGTAATAGCAGATGGCATCTATCTCCATTATAAACATGTCTTTGGTTACAACCTAGGGAGAAAAACAGTTTAGATGACAGACTTGATCCGTGGGCTCTTTTCCTATGTGGAGAGAACTAAGTGTATCTAAAGTGAATTTTCTCAGAGTAAAATTATACCAAGAAGAAAAAAAAAAAAACAGCTCAGTTATCTTATATTCAAAATATATATGGTTTTGAAAATTATGGAGTTTTTTTTATTAAATAAACAAAAGAACTCACGATTTAAAGGAATTCTGTTGTAAATCCTTTTGTAAAGAAAATCAGGAATAATTTTCTTATTTGAAAACACTCAGTTGTTTTTATAGGTCTTTCTAAACTGATGCAAACAAATCTAATAACAGAGAGGCATGTTCTAGGACATAAGTGCTATGAGCAGTGACGTGGTGCTTGCTGGAGTGTTCCCTAGAGGGCAATTTGGTGATGCCCATTAGTCCCCACCAAAAGCCTTAAAAGGGGGAGGGAGTGGAAGGGAGGGGCCATAGGGGTAGGAAAGATGGTGGAATGTGATGGTGATCATTACCCTAAGTACATGTATGAAGACATGAAGGCTATGACTCTACTTTGTGTACAACCAGAGATAAGAAAAATTGTCCTCTATATGTGTAATATGAATCCTAATGCATTCTGTTGTTATATGTAACAAATTAAAATTTAAAAAATAAACACAGCTTTTACAGTAAAGTTCTCAACATTTCCATTTTTAGAAAACATTTATCAAAAGGACATATTTTAAAGATTTAGCTGTAAGAATTGTTACTTATACTATTACTTATTGAAATAAAACACTGGAAACAATTTATCATCAACAAGAGGAAATTGGTTGAGTAAACTGTGGTATGGCCACACAATGAAATGTTATGTGTCCATTTAAAATAAAGGGCTAGGAGCTGGGGTTGTGGCTCAGCAGTGGAGCACTTGCCTTGCACATGGGAGGCACTGGGATTGATCCTCAGCACCACATTAAACAAAATAAAGGTATTGTGTCCATCTACAACTAAATATTTGTATGTATGTGTATGTATATATATATATATATATATGTGTGTGTGTGTGTGTGTAATCACACATATGCACACACATATAAAATAAAATAAAGGGCTAGAAGCATAGCTAATATATGAAAAGATGCTTCTATATTGTTGGGTAAAAAGGAGCATGTTATAAAAGTCTTACATAGTATGATATCTATATATACACCTATCTGTGAATATAACCACATACATAGAAAAGTTTGAAAGGATATACTCCAAAATATCAACAGTTGTCTAAGGATTAGGGGTAAGTACAGGTTTCCAATGTCTTTGTTTTGTTAAAATACACATAACTTTCCATCTTTAAGTATATACTTCTGTGGTATTAAATGCAATCACAATGTTGTGCAACCATCACCACCAGTCACCTGCACTATTCTTTTCACCTTGTAAAAGTGAAACTCTATGCCCATTGACAACATCTCCACACTTTCCCCTCCCTCTTGTTCCTGACAATCACCTTTGTACTATGTCTCTATCATTTTGATTACTCTAAATACCTAGAATCATATACAGTATTTGTTTTTTTGTGATTGCTTATTTCAATTAGCATAACATACTCAAGGTTCCATGTTGTAGCATATGTTAGAGTCTTTTTAAAGCTGAATAATATTCTACTGCATGTACATATGACATTTTGCTTATCTGTTTATCAGTTTATAGTCAGTTATTTTGCTCTTATGAATAATACTGCTATGAACACTGATGTACAAATATCTCTTCAAGATTACAAGTAAGTTTTACTTCTTCCTTTCATTCAATTTTATCATCTAAAATAAGCATTTTTAAAAAACAAAGTTTCTATTTCCCAAGAGAAAAAATGAAAAAAAAATCTCAGGCCAAAAGTAGGAGACAACGTAGGAAGGCTTATAAATTTGAATCACCAATACAGATAGTAGCTAGGAGCACTGGCACATGGCTGTTATCCCAGCAGCATGGGAGGCTGAGGCAGGAAGACTGTAAGTTTGAGGTCAGCCTTGACAACTTAGCAAGATTCTATCTCAAAAGTTAACAACGAGGGCTGGGGCTGTAGCTCAGTGGCAGAGCACTTACCTAGCATGTGTGAGGCACTGGGTTCAATCCTTAGCACCACATAAAAATAAACAAATAAAATAAAGGTGTTCTATCCATCTACAACTATAAATTTAAAAAAAAATTAAAACAATTAAAGAAATATATGAATATTATCTTTACTTTTAATTTTATAAATTTTTTAATTGTTGAAAAATATACATACATAAAATTTACCATCTTTGGTGTACAGTTAAGTAGTACAACTAACCTCCAGTACTCTTTTCATCTTGCACAACTGACAATTATTGTCCATGCCCCCTCCTCATATCCCCTGGGAAGCAACATTTTACTTTCTGTCCCTATGAATTTAGCTGCTCTAGGTACTTCATATAAGTAGACCCTTAATAGTTCTTTTTAATTAATTAATTGATTGATTTTTAATTTTGTTTTAGTTGTAGATGGACACAATGCCTTTATTTATTTATTTTTATGTGGTGCTGAGGACCGAACCCAGTGCCTCACACATGCTTGGCAAGTCCTCTACCACTGAACTTCCCCAGCCCCATTACTTTTAATTTTTTTTTTTTTTTTTGGAGACTAGATAATTTCATTTAGCATGATGTCCTCAAGACTCATCCATGTTTTAGAATACGTTAGAATTTCCTTCCTTTTAAAGGCTGAACAAATTCTATTATAGATTATATGCCACATTTAAAAAAATCTGTTCATACATCAATGGACACTGCTTGCTTGGCTATTGTGAATAGTACTGCTATGAACATACTTGTTCAAGACCCTGCTTCTTTTTTTTCTTTTTATTGGTGCATTATAATTGTACATAAGTGGTATTTGTTGTTACTTATGCATACATGCACACATACAACAGTATAATTTGGTCAATTTCATTCTGCATTATCTCCCCTTTCCCTCAACTTCTGCTTCCCCCAGTCCCTTTCTATTCTACTGGTCTACCTATGCTTTTCATGAGATCCACCCGAAACCTCTTTTTTTTTTTTCTTTTACTTTTTTCTCTCTAGCTTTCACATATGAGAGAAAACTTACGACCCTTGACTTTCTGAGTTTGGTTTAACACTTAACATAACGTTCTCAAGCTCCATCTATTTTCCTCCAAATGACATAATTCTATTTCTTTATGGCTGAATAAAATTCCATTATGTGTGTATACTGCATTTTCTTTATCCATTCATTGGCTGACAGACACCTGGGCTGGTTCCATGATTTGGCTATTGTGAATTGTGCTGCTATAAACATGGGCATGCATGTATTGGATAATGCAATGACTTCAGTTCCTTAGGATAAATACTGAGGAGTGGTATAGCTGGGTTATATGGTGGTTCCATTTATTATGACAGGTAATCTGCTGTACTCAGAGTCTACTGATTTAAATCATAACCTCATCTAAATAAAAAAATTACCTACACTATAACATTCCATTGTGTTTGACCAAATGTAGGCAAAATTACCATAGGCTAGCCTAGTTGACACATAAGGTTAACTATCATAAAGTCCTTTGCCCTTTTTTTAGTCAGTATTTTTTTAAAACTATTCACTATCATTACTTTTTTTTAAGTCAGTCATTTTTTGTATTAAGAGGTATGAGTTCTTCGTATAGCCTGGATATTAACCCCTTGTAAGATATGTGATTTGCAGATATTTTCTCCTGTTCCATAGCTTGCCTTCCACTCTGTAGATTGTGTCCTTTGATTCACAGAGTTTTTTTTTTTTTTTTAATACTGATGAAGTTCCATAGGTCTATTTTTCTTGAGCATAGAGATTTTGTCCTGGGCTAGAGTCAATAGCTAGACTGTGGAAAATGTAGAGAAAGCAAAAGCCACCCTTTGGCTTACCTCATGGAAGGGTATCTCCAAGGTCTGGAGACGAAGGTCAACTTTGTGGTAGGTATCCAGGCAGGGCAAAAAGAAGAACAGGCCTAGAAGAGGGGAGGAAGGAACAGGCAAACAGCAGGCATGGAGACTGTTTAGGGTTCACCTTTTCATGTTCAGGTTGTACACTGCATTGCTTTTCTTAGCCTGCAACTATACAGGCATCATTGTCGAAGCTAAGTTTACCACCATCAATATGGGACACTTGAGGGTAAAAGGAGAGCACTGTTACAATTTACTCCAGGATAACAGGTATAAGCAGGTATTATTCCAAAAATTTGGGCTTTAATAATGGTGGTAACTTTAGTCATGATGCTAAACCCTCCAGATCTCTAGTATATGTCTGTCCCTTCACTAGATTTGAGCTCCCTAAGTAACATCACATACATTATTGTTAGTCTTAGTAGTGTCTCTGACTTGGTGCCTTTTAGGTAATCTATAAAATTGTTTTTTAGCCTATGAGTGTATCTATATGTCAAACTTTGGAGCCAGCAACCTCCTCATGGTATTTCTTAAAAGGTGAGCCCCAAAGGTAATCATAATAGCAATATCATAATACTAGCTTCTGTTTGGCAAGTTAGTCCTCACCTATCCAATATAATATATAGTAAATAATGGGCAATAACTATCTGTAGATTGATTATTGAGATTTTATCAAGAACCCTGGATGTTGAAGGCTCTTGTAAGACCACAGTTTGTTGAAACCAAAAGCACTTCACAGAGCCCATGATCTATCTGGGGAGCAGACCACCTGCTGTTCTTTCTTGGCCCCAATGGAGAAAGTTCCAGAAAACAAGGAACACAGCAAGATCATCCATGTCCTGGAACTACAGGATCTAGTTCTGTTTTTGTGGGAACCCATCTACTGGATTGGGTTTTTCAAACTCTGATTGGTGTCTCTTAGTCTTGTCTCCATTCCCTACTTATTACTGCAGACCAGAATGAGAACTCAGACCTCTCCAATATATACACAGTGGGACTTTGCTCCTCCTCATGGCTTCCAGGCTGTCTTGGACCTCCAAACCCTAATTTCTACACTTTCCAGAATAACCATACTTCTCTCTATACCCCATAACCAGTTTTGATTTCTGAACATAAATTCCACTAGATTTTAAAGCCCTAGAAATCAGAGACCATGTCTTACTCAGGCATTTTTGTATTCCTGGTAGTTAGCAGCATCTAAAATACAAGACTTGTTCAATCTCTGTCTCTTAAATTTCAACACTAAAGACCAATTTATTATGTAGATGCCTCACTTCCTTGCCTTAGGCCCCCTGGATTCTCAACTAGCTCAGCTTTTCTCTGAGAATTCACAGGACTCTGTACACATGTAGTACTCAAACCAGTCCCCATTCATGGATCCTAAGCTGATTTCCTATTGTAATCAGCATGCCCCTGATGTGGGGCTCCCTGCATTCATCTTCTCCCTTGGCCACCTGTCTCCTGGTAGTAGAAGTTCTTAATGATCTGTATTGCAACTAACAGATTAGAAATGCAGATGAATCAAGTTACTTCATTGTATCTAAAGTCCATATTATAAATACATAAGAATTGAAGTTGGCCAGTTGAGATGGTGGAGATGGTGGTTTAAAAAAAAAAAAGTGTGTGTATATGTTTCTTACCAGGACCTTTGGGTCTTCCAGGAAGCAGATGTCCCAGTCGGAATATAATTACTCTCTCGTACTCTTGTACAATCTAAATGGAAATGTAATACTTCCAAATCACTCTAAATAAGAATAATAAAGCATTCAAAAGGCTTAAAATGAAAGTGATTTTAGGTATCAGAAATATTTTGTTTTGACAATGAAGAATAAACTTCTATTGATATTTAATGTTCTAAAATTTATACTTAGTGTGGAATTTTAGAAACCAATGAAAAAGTGTATTGGCTATCTGAATTTTTGAGCCCAAGGATAGAAGTTTGATTAAAAACTCATTATCATCGAAAAAGTAATGTTTCCACTATATTCAATGTTTCCTAAATCAAATATGATCAGAGCATGTTTAATCTTGTAGTTTTCTGTGACTTCTGCCTCATCAAGCTTTTATATGTATCACTCATTAACTGTTTAACAAAAAGATGGAGTATATTTTAATACCACTTGTGATACTTTGTTTCACAAATAACACAAAGTTGTGATACTTTTCAGTTTCTTCTAAGCTGCTTCAAAATGATCCAGTTGGATTTTAATTAGTTAATTCTCATGAATCTCAAAAAATTGAATGTGCCCTGAGCATGTGTAGAAATATTTTTAAATGACAAAAAGGAGATTCACTGTGTAGAACAGAACAGAAAAGTTACTGCATATTACTTTTAAAAAGTTACTTTCTGTTCCAGTATCAGAATCTGAGTTCTGTTGCTTGTTTATCATTAACTTAGTTGATGAGTTTGTTTATACATATACCTCACAAGACTCTGAATTCCTTGATGATACAGAATTGATTTTTTTCTGAGTGCCTAAAAAAATGCCTGATACAAAGCAAGTATTCAGTGAATTTATTCATTTAGTAAGTGGATAAATGAATGATTTATGACTGTTTCCAAGTTTATTTTCCTTTGCTTACTGGAACAGTGAATGAGAGTGAATGATTGGGTTTGTTCCTAGAGCATACCCCAGCAATTCCCAGCTGCCTAGTTCCTAGCATTACTTGTTTCTTTGTTGGAAAAAAAATCCTCCAGAGATTAAGGGAAACTTACTCTTCAAGCCTTGCTCAAACCCAATCTTGCTTTTGTGTCTACTACCTAATTTAGAAGGTTCCTAAGGTTTACCTTTGATGGTGCTGGGGCTTGAACTCAGGGCCTTGAGCTATGCAAGCACTGCTATATGCAGAGCTGTATCTCCAGCCCTGCTAAGGTTTACCATCTTAACTAACTAAACCCAACAGCCTTTTCCATAAACCATGGTTGAGTCAGTACTGGTCCCTGTGATGATCACGTAGGTGCTCAGATCACACCTCAAGAAGAGCCTGCGGCCTTGCCTGGCCTGCCTGAGGCTTTGGGTTCAATTCTCACTCCACCAAAAAATGAAAAGTGAAAAGGAGAGCCTGCTGCCAACTGTATGCTGTCTCAAGGAGACACATTTTATAGTCAAAGACGTAAGTAGATAGAAAGTTTAAAAGTGGAAAAAGACAAGCCCCACTCATCATTGACAGTTTCCCCTAAAGCCTGCTTTTGTTCTTTCTCAATCTCACCCAGGCAGTACCTTCAAAAAATTCTTTGTACTTCTAATTTCATCTTGTCATGTGCTTACTGAACTGACACAGATCTTCATTTGCTTCAGGGACTGGAATTGTGTGGGCCACCTGTGGGCCAGAGACAGTGGCCCCTCATGGTCTAGGGCAGCTGCTGAGAAGTTTCTGGCAGTGTAAGGAGCACATGAGAGGATGTCATGACCTGTTCTGGGCTGGTCTTTGTGTTGGAGTGGGGATGAACCAGTGGAAACCCTTGAAGGGTCTCCATCTAATGGTAGAGTTGATCTCAGCAAGCATTATATGTGTGGTACGTGCTAGAATGAAGTGAAGGCCCAGTGATCAGGAGCACAGGGAAGGGCGCGACAGTCTAGAGGAGTTGAGGAAGGCTTCATGGTAACATTTGAGCCAGGTCTTGAAAGGACCTGGAGGGCAAGTGGGCATGAGGGCATGGCAGTGGACCAGCAGCAAGTTCTAAACACAGAGCATGACCCAGTATGATCAGAAAGAGGCACCAGGAAATAAATGACCTGTTGGGTCCTCATGGAAACTCACCTTAATGCAAAACCAGATGGAAAAAGGCAATGTCAGAATGATGAAGAACAGAGAAGCAAGGACAAGAAGCCACTCACAGGCCCCTAAACCAGAGGACTTGGTACCTAAAGAAAGAAAAAATATTGAAACCTCACCATTTTAACTGACTATCACTTGTCAGTCTAGTCCTTGGTATTGGGTCAGAGCAGCTTGGAGACATTGCTGGAAATATTGGAATGAACCAGACATCAGGGTGGTCAGAGTTCACAGGGCCTGGGGTCTGCGTGGAGAGCCATGTGGGCCTGTGGAAGGTGGTGCAGGCTCCTGGAAAGGCACTGGGGTACAGGGGACCAGAGTACCATGGGTTCCCATTCTGGCTTTCTAATTTCACGTCCATAGATAATTTTATGTAGGACACAGGATCTTTTCAAACCTCAGTTTCCTTACCTGTACAATGGGGATGTTTGCTATATTGTAGATATTGCACAATAACTAGCTCATGAAATAGATTTCATATCTATTTCAGTGTAAGGGAGATATGAAATCTCACATAAAAACACTAAACTGTACTTTACGTGTGTTGGGTTTTAATATTCAAAGTGTCCAGAGTCTCACCTTCCATGAAATAACTTTCCTACTCACTACCTGCCCTAATGTCTGAAATGCCTTTGTTAGAGTTCCTTCATTGGATTGAGGTGTTGCTGTCTGGTCCTTGAACATCCCCTGTGTGGGATGACATTAGACCATTAGAGTTTGTGAACAAGCAATAAGGAAGGATGCAGAACATCCAGGATGCTTGAGTGGTAGTGAAGTGGCATCAAGGAAAGTCGGCCTCAGGAACACAAGTTCTTCTGGTCCTGTCGTGTTTACATTGCATCTCCAGTGCCTGGAATAGTGCCTGACACAATGCAGGTGCTCAACCATTGTTGAATTAGGAAGGAAGGAGAAGTGGATAGTGAAAATGATTTAAATGTAATGTAAATCTGAGTTGTGGAAATCTAAAGAATTTTATTTTCCAGGTACTAGAATACTGGCCAAAAGGATACCATTTGCCAGTTTAAAAATCCCACAGAGAGGAGCTGGGGCTGGGGCGCAGTGGTAGAGGGCTTGCCTAGCACGTGTAAGGCACTGGCTTCGATCCTCAGCACCACATAAAAAAGTAAACAAAGATATTGTGTCCATCTACAACTGAAAAAAAGTATGTTTAAAATATATCCCACAGAGAACTAAAAGATGAGTGAGAGTGAGTAAATGGTAAAAAGCCTATTTTTAAAGGAACAGAAGGAAATGGATACTTAATTGGTAGGGCTAAAAATTCAAATTCCACAGCCAGGCACAGTGGTGCATGCCTGAGGTCCCAGCTGCTCAGAAAGAGGCTGAGGCAGGAGGGTCACTTGAGCCTAGGAGTCTAGGCCAACCTGGGACCAGTTTCTTTAAAAAAAAAAAAAAAAAAGTTGTTTTTCTTGAAATTGAATTCCACGTCTGGAAAGGTCTTCACTGAGTTACTTAAAGAGGCACATGTGCAAGTTGCACCAGCACTAACGCCAAATCTGCCCTAGTGTGGCAGTTCCCAAAGACCTTTCCATAGAATACCAGTCCCAGAGTGTGCTCCACAAGGAAAGAGTTTTTGGGCAAACGGATTTAGAAATATTGGGCACTGTATCCCAATCCCATTGGTATTCCCAATGTCCATCAACATCTGGAAGCTATGAGAATCCCTATAGTAAAAAATCATTCTTAGCTTTGTTTACTCTAGTGGTTTCTAAACCTTTCACAAGGTAATGTTTTCTCCAAAGAACACTCATTGATGTTCTATGGAACTTATTTATTACCAACCCTACATTAGAAAATGCTGCTCTATAAACATTGTTAATTTTTATATTCTTATTCTTCAATGGCAATGACTAATAGTCATTTTAGTTTATATTTGTATCAATGAATTTCAGTTTATAATTGTATTTCAGTTTCCAGTGGTAACAACTACCACAAGTAAAAATCAAGGCACATATGAACAAAATTATGTTTTATAAGTGAAAAAAGTTCTCAAAAGTTCCTTCACTCAGTAGTTAGGAATGTGAATAGAAAACTAATTTGTATACTCAAAGCTTTATCCACAAAATATTTTTCTCTTGGAATGAGCTGCTTGAACATCCAAATTGTTTGATTTAAGTGAATAAGGAAGCATTACATGTTAAAGCAGGAAGAGTCTTTAGACATATCCTGAGAATACCCAGTTGTGGTAAGGTGACACCCCTTTTCAATTCCCTCAAGTCCCAAGAAGCCTGCCTTTGGAGTGTGGTGCAAAGTCAGAAGAGAGAGGAATGCTGCGCCCTGTTCCCACAAACACCTCTCAGGCAAGAGCTGCCTCATCTTTAGTGGTATTTCTCTCTCACTGCTTGGGATCTTCTGCTCTAGCCACTTTCTTATTGGTGAGACTAAGGCCCACAAAGGTGAATCAACCTGCTTAAAACCATAGCTAGTTGGTTTGAGTGCTGGGACATGATCAGAAACCAAGAGCAGGCTATGTGAAGGTGGGTACTTCAGCCAAAAAGCCTTATTCTAGAAGTCTAGCTGTTCCACTTCCCAGCTATTGGTGTGTGTGTGTGTGTGTGTGTGTGTGTGTGTGTGGTGTGTGTGTTACTGGGGATTGAACTCAGGGCCTCATGCAGGCTAGGCAATGGCTCTACCACTGAGCTATATGCCCACTCCTTTTTATTTTGAGACAGGGTCTAGTTACATTGTCCAGGTTGGCCTCAAACATCTGATCCTTCTTCCTCAACCTCACAAGTAGCTGGGATTACACATGCCACTGCCTCGGGCTCCAGCTATAGATTTTGGGCAAGATACTTAATTTCACAGAGCATGTTTCCTCAACTGTGCTAAGAGGATAATGAAGGACTAAATAAGTAAAGTAAAACACCCAGGTGTGCTTGGTACATAGAAAGGGCTCCATAAATGGGTGCTCCCTTCCTTGCCTACTCCTCTAATATGATCTGCCACACAATATAAGATTACATGCTGGGCTGGGGTTGTGGCTTTGTGGTAGAGCGCTCACCTAGCACATGTGAGGCCCTGGGTTCGATCCTCAGCACCACATAAAAATAAATAAACAAAATAAAGGTATTGTGTACAACTAAAAAATAAATATTAAAAAAAGATTACATGCTATTCTTCATTTGCTTCCCTTTAAACATCTGTCATCCTACTGCTTAAGGTATAATGAATTTTTTTCCCATTCATTATGAAAAGGATTGTCGGTAGTTAAATTTGTTCCTAAGATTTGCTTTCTCTGCAGAAGGGAAAAGGAACACTTTTGTTTGCATTCCCTCCTTTGATCTGATGTTCCTCTCTTTTAGCTTGCAAGGATTCAGCTGAAACTGAGCATGTTCTTTGTTCTAGGCTTTGTGCAAAGTGTTTGGGAGCTTTTGCTCATTTTACCCTCACAACTGCCTCTAAGGCAGGAATTGGGATTATCTGATCCATGGTGGAGGCCCTTCCTATGATCACGTGGCTAGCAAGCTGTGGAGCTGATTTCAACTCAGGTCTGGCTGATGCAAGTAGAGAAGGCGATGCCTTTCAGAAAGAATGATCATCCCAAAGAAAGTTTAAAATGCTTTTACGTAAGACTGAGGGGAGGAAAATAAGCCATAGTTGCTCAGAGCCAAGGCTCAGTCACGTTTTTATTTATATCAGGTGCCCATTTGCCCTTCTGTGACCACAAAAACCAACTTCATCGTTCCTTTGCCTGTCAATTGGTCCCCAACCTGGACCACACTCCCTCCAACTTCCCATCCCTTTCTGCCCCCTGAGATCAGCTGGTACCTGGATGATGTTGCTATTTTTATTTCTTCTGATGCACTTGTCTCCATCTTTTTTTTGGGGGGGGGGGTGCTGGGTGCCTAATGCACACCTTTCATTTCCTGGAAACCCCAGCCTTCAGCAATCTGCTCTGGCTTTGATGGTTTTCAGTGGGGTAACATTTCACCTTATCTGACATCCTTTGGGTACCACTTGGAAAGCCGGCTTTCCTCCCGGATGCCCGACCTGCACCTCAATACCTTCCTCCAGCCGCTCGCTCTCCAGCAGCGCCACCACCTCGGTGCCTTCCTCACCGGAGCCCCGGACCTCGTCCACGTCCACCACGGTGGCGGCGGGCGCTCGGGGTTCCTCTGGGCTTTCCGTCCGCCCGGGGCTCCGCCGCTCGGATCTGGCATCCCGCCGCCCGCGGCCGCCGCCCCTCTCGCCCTTCGCCCTCTTGCTCTCCTTGTGGGTGGGCCCGCCGCCTCGCCTGGGGGCCTCTCTGGAGGAGCTGCGTGCCCTCCTCTCCATCCTCACGTCGGCGGAGTGCTCGTGCGGCCGTGGCGGAGGCCCCCAGAGCGAGCGCGGTCCTTCGGAGTCACCCCGGAGTCGCTCGTGGAGTCACCCCGGGGTCGCTCGCGGAGTGGGTGGACTGGGCGGCGAGCGCTGGCCCTAAAGACACCCCAAGGGTGGGCGGGGCGAGGGTCCTGGGGCGGGGCTCCGCCCACCTGGAACCCCGACCGCCGCTGCCCACCCCCAAGACTGCGTGCCACGCTGACGCGGTGGGGCCGCGGTGGCTCCAAGCCTGCGTCCGCAGAGGAGGGTCTGAGCTGCAGAGATGCAGTCGCCTGGGCACCTCCGAGGCCCTCAGATTGCTGAAGGGCCGATGGCGCTCTGCTTTGACTTGTGAAGACGTTATGAAACAGGGTTTGTGGTCCTAGGTAACGCTAGAGTTTCAGTCATCAAATTAGGGTGACTTTAAGGTAAATTAGGCACTTCTCAAGTGCCTTCCTACTTTGAGAATTCACAGCGTGTGTGTCTGTCTCTGATTTCTCATTTTTCAGTACTGGGAATTGAACCCAGGGGCTTCTACCACTCACCCTACGGCTCCAGCCCCCCTCCCCTTTTTAAATTTTGCTAAGTCTCTGAGGCTGGCCTATAATTACAATTCTTCCACCTCAGTTTCCCTAGCAGCTGGGATTACTGGTATGCGGCTCCACGCCTCATATCTCTTATTTATTTTTATTAATGCTTAATCCTGTTGATGGTATAATGCTTCTTGAATCGCAGAAGGGAAGGGATCCGTTTTAATTTCTGTTTTGTAGGAAAGGGTCTCTTTTGTCTCTGTCTAGGCCCTATTTACATGCTTCCTTGAAGTTCTGCTTTTCCAAGGTTTATTGGCCACACTGCTTTCAACAGGAAACGGGCGGGGGGGGGGGGCAGTTCCACCTGCTTTGGAGGAACTTGAAATATCCAGGAGATTTATTTCTCTTTTACTCCATTAATTATTTGCTTCTCATGGGTGGGTGGTTGGTCTAAATAACCCTTCAAGCAAGATTTATGATTCTTCTCAAGTAGCTCAGATCCTGTGCTAATAGAAATAATATTCATTTATTCTTATTTTTCAATGTTTTTTTTTTTGAGCTCACATAGTGATAACTTTATCTTTCTCAAAAACATTGTTAAAGAATGAAGATTTAAAGTAACTCAGATCTGGAAAATCTATCCCACTACTTTCCTCCTCTGGTCCAAGTTAGGCCGTTGGGAATACAGTAATTAAATGTTTAGTAACAAAATAATTTAGGTTTTTGTTTTGTTTGTTTGTTTTACTCTCTGAATCTGATTATTGCATGGACTACCTCTCAAGTGCTGATCTCAAATAATAGTTCCTGTCCAGATGCTACATTGAGAAAAACTCTGAGGCTACATTTGGCCCACAAAGGAAAAATGATTATAATTATTTAGTATTTCTCCAAATTAATATTTGCTATTAAACATAGATAGTTTCTTCATTATACTATAGAAATTTCACTATTAGGAAAAGCACGAATTTTGTTTTGTTTTGTTTTAATTTTTTGGCTGTGATATAGATTGAACCCAGAGTCTCAGGCATACTAAGCAAATGTTCTACCACTGAGCTTCATCCCAGCCCATGTAACAATATTTGTGGCACTTGATGATTTTTTCCTTAGCCTTTGATTCTGTCACAAAATAATTTGATCTAGAGCTCTAGCTATAGACTCTTACACCAAAAATTGCACCTCAATTTTTACTCAAGAGTGAGCAGGGAAATGACCAAATGATAGTCTTCAAATAAGACAGAGAAACTTATAGGAGAAACTGTGAAAACGCACCCTGCTGGGTGTTGGGCCCTGCTAGGCACTTAGTGTCAGTCCTCTTTACACCATGGACTTCTGACAAATTATATAATTATTACTTCATTTTCTATATCCATATCTAGATCAATGTAAGCACCTGCTCACAAGTTTGTTGGGATTATAAATAAACTTGACAAATATCTGAGAAAAGGCATCACATTCCATGGTAAAAAGGCCAACATAGCATCTCTGGAAGGTGGAGGAGTTGGGAGGGAGTGCTGAATCAGCCCATGTGCCCAGCAGACTGGCCTCCTCTGTCCTTATGGTCACACTGCTGTTTTCTTTTAGCTTCCTTTTTAATTGGAAGTGTTGCTTATCCCTTTGCTGAAAGTATTCTATGTGCACATTTTTCAACCCTTAATAATTTACTCCTTGTTTAGATGTGTTAAGAGATTGACATCTGTGGGAATGCAGTTACTAAAAGAAGGGGAGGACTAATTAACATTGTTGACTTAGGAGTTTGTTTCCAAGATGAAAGGTCAAGAAAGATTGCAAGATTTTCTAAATCATTATACTTATCCCATTTCACTTTGAAATATTATATCCATAATGATAAGCAAGGATGAATATTGATTTATTTGGATAATTTAATAAAAATACTAGAATTTGTTGGCACTAGATAAAATTGCACTTCTTATTATTTTAGAGCTGAAACCCATAAGGATTTGTTAAATTTGACTTTCTCAATCTATAGACAGAAGAGAGACCAACTAGGAGAGCAGAGTGATGGTCTAGGACAGTGATGTTGCTGAGGGCCTGATGCAAGGTGCTAGCCCAGAAATGGTCTGGGTTTAGGACATCTCTCAGTAGAATGCATTTTGACACATCATACATAAATTGAGTATAACTTCTCATTCATCTGGTATTACATAATGTAGAGTTACACAGGTCATGTAATCATATATACATATAAGGTAATAATGTCCAATTCATTCTACTATCATTCTCACCCCCATGCACCCTCCCCTCTCTTCCTCCCCTCTGTCTAGTCTAAAATACATCTATTATCCCCCCCCCCCCGCCCTTATTGTGAATTAGCATCTACATATCAGAGAAAACATTCAGCCTTTGGTTCTTTGGGATTGGCTTATTTCACTTAGCATACTCCAGTTCCATTCATTAATGAGCAAATGCCATAATTTCATTCTTAAGGCTGAGTAATATTTCATTGTGTATATTTACCACAGTTTCTTTATCCATTCATCTGTTGAAGGGCATCTAGGTTGGTTCTATAGCTTAGCTATTGTGAATTGAGCTGCCATGAACATTGATGTAGCCATTTCACTATAGTAATATGCTGATTTTTAAGTCCTTTGGGTATATGCCAAGAAATGGGATAACTAGGTCAAATAGTGATTCCATTCCAAATTTTCTAAAGAATCTCCTTATTGCTTTTCATAGTGGTAGCACCAATTTTTAGCAGGACCTCTCTCTAAGGGACAGAATAAACAGAATCATGGGGTTATGGAATGCAGCTCATGAGGGGATAGAGGGCTTGAGAAAGACTGAGGCTTCATCCTTAGACATAACTGCTGCTTCTTTGGCAGATCCATTTCCCCCTAACTAACCTACCTGCAGCATCCTAAATTCCTGCTCCCTTTTCCTGGAGAGGCAGGTATTGGATAAAGTGGTGAGATAAAACTTACTTGACTTTTCTCATTAATTCACCCTATAGTTACTTAGCAAACATTTCCTTCATGGTTAGCAATGCTCATTGCTGAGGTGTAGATGAAAGACATTCTGCCTGCCCTCCAAGAACTCACAGGGAGAGACATATGTAAACAGATAGGTGCAAGAATGTGTTGTCCACTTAGTGATAGAGAGGATGTATCAAGGTTTCTCTTATAAACATTTTGGGCCAGATGATTCACTGTTGTGGGGACCACCCTGTGCAGTGTAGCATCTTTAGCAGCATCCTTAGCCTACCATTAGATGCCTGTAGCACCTCACAGCTACTAATGTATGACCACCAAAATTGTTTCCAGCCATTGCCATGTGTCTGGTGGGATCAAAATGGCTCCTGGTTGAGAACTTCTGATCTATACTGTACTGTGAATCCACAAAGGAAGAAATAAGTAGTTCTGCCTGAATGGATTCAGAGGAGGTCCAGTTTGGGTCATATTAAGAGATGTGGGGGTGACCCTGAAGTTAACTTTGAGAGGCTGGGCCTTCCAGTCAGAGGGATCAGAACAAAAGACAGTACCAGGCAAATGGGTTAGTGAATCAGTGGCTTGACAGATTGGTGAAAGAGAACAGTGGTAGGCAGTCCAAGAAATGAAAAGTCTTTTACACCATGTAAGAAATTTTGATTTTATCTTATAGGCAAAAGAAGCCATTGAAGCATTTTAAGGAAGGAACAATATGGTTGGATTTGTAATTAATGAGTAATGTTGTGGACAAGGTGAAGTTGAATGGAAATGCAGGTGGAGCCAGAGAGACCAAAAAGAACATTCTTGTGGTAATCTGGATGAGAGGGAGGATGGGTTTAGAGGAAAAGGTGCTGACTTGTGGGACCGTAGTCAAAGTAACCGGTGAACAGGGCTAACACCCAACAGAGGGAATACAAGAGAGGTAAGGAATTTTGTTTAAAGGTAGGTGGGCACATAAATTCAGTTTTAATTGTACTGAGTAGCTAGCAGTGTCGACAGGATATCTATCTGGAAACATTCAGCAGAGCACTAGATTTTTAGGTCTCTGAAGCTCAGATAGATGGTGTTTCTGTAGCCCAGATCCTAAACCTTTCACCAACTGCCAGCTGAGGCTGTAGCATCTTCAGCTGGGAACAACACATGCAAAAGTGTCCCTGGCCAGCTGTGGCTCTGATATATCTCAATTTAAAATGTCTGTTCCTGTGGCTGGGGTTGTGGCTCAGCATGTGGAAGGTGCTGGGTTTGAACCTAAGCACCATATAAAAATAAATAAAATAAAGATATTGTGTCCAACTACAACTAAAGCAAAATGTCTGTTCCCATCACTAAAGATATATTTCCTATTCTTGGTGGCTTGTGTGACCCTGAGGATTCTATGTTGTCTCATCCATTTCAGTATTATGGAAGAGAGAGAAAAAAATATTCTTCCAATCTTTTCCAATCCTAGAGTCTTTTCTCACCATGGCAAACATGTAAAATAATACTATTTAAATGGTATATTGGAGGAAACTTGAGGGTACTTAAGAGTATCTATATGGAAATTGATGAGAAAAAATATATATATATATATAAAATTTATTTATTTACAGTGCTAGGAATCAAACCCAGGGCCTCACACATGTTAGGCAAGTGTTCTA